AATGTTACACAAATCATAATAAAATATCAGATTTTAATAAAACCAATATATTTACAAAACAAACTAAACGTACTGTATGTATATATATATATATATATATATATATATATATATATATATATATATATATAGAATGTAGTTCTTATCGTTCACCCCTTAGCCACCTTTATCTAGAAACGAGACGCGTTAAATGTGAGCAACATCCAGCCGACACACTGGGGTTAAAATAGGAAACTAAAATGATACATATGACACACTCATATCCTCTCTCCCACCTCACTTCCTCACTTTGTTAACTTTGCGTATACTTGATGAGGTCCGTAAAAATCGTGTGAATTTCTTTCCATTTTTCAATTCAGTTTTTTGAAGTAAAGTCTGATGATCCAGAACCCTGTTAAAGGGGTTATGGTGAAATAGCTTAATACATGGAATCTTAACGTGGTCTGTCTTTTATATATATATATATATATATATATATATATATATATATATATATATATATATATATATATATAGTTTATGCAAACTTAGGTAATCCGTATGGGTAGACCTGAGGAGGATGATATCAGAGAGCTCAATGTAAGATTCAGAGCATATATGTTTGAATAAAAGACAGACCACGTTAAAAGATTCCATGTAATCAGACTTTACTTCATGAATCCTTCATTTCAGCTTTTTGGAAGTAAAGTCTGATGATCCAGAACCCTGTTAAAGGGGTTATGGTGAAATAGCTTATTACATGGAATCTTAACGTGGTCTGTCTTTTATTCAAATATATATATATATATATATATATATATATATATATATATATATATATATAAATATAAATATAGATTAAATATATTAAATATCCCAACCATGCGGACCAACTTTCCCGCTTTTTACATAATCCTAGGTTTTATATTTTATAATTTATTTATTAATACAATATGGCACTTTATAATATTTAATATATTTAATAAATAATTTAATAACTTAATATATTAGGAGCGGTGGCAGAGGCGGTCAAGCAAGAAGGCATGGCTGTAGTCAATAAGAGCAATAGTTTTAAAACTTCAAGTTCTACAGTATTAATGAGTTGGTTCATGAATTTGGTGGCATAGTATTTGTTCAATCCCATGACCATGTATTACAGACTCCGTGGAATTCAATTCTAGACTCAGGACTGTCCCCCGGAGCAGTAGCTTAGTGAATTAAAGCGTTGGTTCATGAATTTGGTGATATAGTAATTGTGATTTCAGACGAGGATCATTCATTAGTAGCACCAGTCCAGAGACTTTGCAGCTGGGATCCGCCATGCCTCTTACACGGAGTCAACTCATCGTCATTCCTTTCGTATTTTAATGGTAAGCAAAAAGTTCCACCTAGACAGCTTCTACTCCGGAACATTTATTTTGTGGAACAAACTCCCGAGAAGATACATCCCCGATCGCTATAATCTTAACTTCTTCAAATCCGGGTTAACCGTTATCTCTCCTACATATCCTCATAATATGCTACTTCTTTTATGTAGTCACAACAACCGCATTCATTAAAGCTCTGTCTTGAGTGGCTCTTCGATCTATTATTGGATGTATTGTCTGGGGACAAAAAGTTATTTTGTATACAGTGGCGACCAAAAGGAGTGAACCATGAACTGGATATCAGAAGACAGAAGATGGCGATTGAAGTTACATTTAAAATTTTGAAGGTTATAATTGCCAGGTAAGCAAGTAAACAGAAGCGAGTTCCACAGGCGGGAAGTGCGAGAAAATAAACCGTTGCAGTAGAAGTGGCAGTTACATTTAGCTATTTCAACAGTAAACGGGTGGGACCTAAATGCCAATCAAATTGCACGCTTAAATTTATGTAGTCGAGGTACCAGGAGAAAAAAGCTCCCCAGAGTAGTTACCATGAAAATATTTGTAGAAAAGACGAAGAGAAGCCATGCCACGTTGGTGAGAAAGTGACTGAAATCGAGATGCCAGGTCAGGATCGATTACATTGCAGATCCTTCTTTGGATTTTATCAAGAACCTCGAGATGAATAGCAGGAGCACCAAACCAGAGATGGCAACAGTATTCAATGCACGGACGAATGGTAGATTTGTAAATGTGTAAAATGGAGTCTGACAAGAAAAATTTTCTGGTACGATACAATGACCCAAATTTCCTTTCACTAGATGCAGCTATTGATTCGATGTAGTCGCTTCAATTCAAATCAGTGGAAAACGTGAGGCTAAGAAGACGCAGTGCGTTGCTCCCCGGGAGCCTAACGCCAGTCATACTGATGGCAGACAGAAAAGGTTCTCTATGGAGGTTAAATGAAAGTAGTGATAAATATTGGCACATTACCAGAGTAGATACAAATTTAACTGCTTGGAAGATACAGAAAATACTTGTTGATCCATTTAACGTCATAGCAAACCAAACTAAGTAATTCATTTTAATCATTTAACTTCAACTAGGGCGATAATGCCACTAAGACGCGGAGGGCTACTACGACTGAAAGAGAATGAATACTTTAGAAGGAACCAAAAACCCAATCCTAGACAAGAAACAAGGAATAAACCACTACACCTGTTCAAAAGACCGGGGAGTAGTGTGAATTGACGATAGGCGAACCTGTCCACTCCTATTTCCTAAGAAAAAAAAATATAAAAATTTAATAAATAAATAGTAAATAAAATTTAAGAATTAGAAGTATAGAGTTGATGTAGACTTTAAAAGGAACCGGGAGCCTAATCTTAAACAAGGAACAAGGGATAAACCTCTATTCCTGTCCGAAAGACTGGGAAGGGGTGTGAACCGGACAATAGGCGAATCTACCGACTCCTATTGAGGAGAAGAGAAAAAAAGCAAAGAAAGGGGAAATAAATAATTAATAAATAAAATTTGCGAGTTGGTACTGCCAGCCACCACGTTGGGAAGAGTAGATGGGTAAGAAGTTGGTAAAGGAAGAGCTGATATAGCAGAAGTTGTCCCCCGTATCACCTACCTACTCACCCGGACGAGCAGGCGAATACCTGAATAAAAAAAAGTAAATGTAATATGAAAACAGGGTTTATATTCTAATTTCTTCACGTGGCGTTTTTTTTTTTTTTGTTTTGTTTTGTTTTTTTGTTGTTGTTTTGTTTTTTAATCGTGTTCCATTGTGAGCGTGCATCGTGTCCTGTCCCAGATTTCGGTGAACACTGTCGAGATCGAGGGTGGAAACAAAACATGAGGTATTCACTGACCGGTCAGTGGAAAGCTTAGGCATAGGTAGCGATGTATGTCTACATATTTACTAATACGTCCACATTGTAACGTAGGTATGTCCTACCGGAGCGCATAGTGTCCAAGCCCATGGAGAAGCCAGGAATTTAAATGCGGATTTCTAAAACAAATACTCCGTTCCCGTATAATAAAATCTTCCCACCTTGAATTTTTGGCTTCGTGTCAGACTAAGCTTAATAAACAAAAATACAAAACAAAATACGTGATTGTTTCTTTAATTTGAACTTTACAAGAATGCTTTTAAGCTTCAAAATTCAAGGAATATCAACGGATGAATTACTGGTATTCATGTGCATCGTACTATGCAATTATTCTCGCACCAAGTTTGCACTAATGCACACGAAAAATTGTATCAAAAAAAGCAAGAATGGAATGCAAGATGTGAGAGATTAACATACCGATTAGTTTCGTGTTATTGATGTCGATGGTAATATTTTCGGTCAAATTCGAATTTTTCAGGGCATCCAGGAATGCATCTTGCAGATTGCTGGTTACTAAGTCTGTGGAATTGGTTTCTAACTCGGTGTTCGATGAAATGTTGCTGCTTGTCGTCGGATTGTCTTTTATTATCAATACGAAGTCCACTTTGACGCTTCCTTCCCTAAAAAAAAAATATACGCCAGCTATTTGAGAAAACAAACGAAGCGGAGGCTTGACACAACAGAATTATAGTTCTACAGTAGGATACTGAGAATATCATTGACGGAGCATGTGAGCAACGAAGAAGTTTTAAGGAAAATGAGCACGAAAAACGAAACTTGTACTTAGAATCAAAAAGAGATTATAAAAATTTCTGGGACACATAAAAAGGATTTTTTATTGATTGGTATTTTTACGGCTTATCACCTTCTTCAGGCTATTTAAAGCCAGAAAATATTTTTAGTTTGTATGATTTTTTTTTTTTTAGATAATAATCTTGAGATACAAGTCTTACTAATTAACCCATAACTGGGGATAGAACACGTGGATTCATACCTAATCAGGTTTTGATTGGCTTGGTTTGATTTATTTTATTTTACGGCATATCGGCCTCAATCGGTTATTTCATGCCGACAAAATTTTTATTGCTGGTAATATTTTTTTCAAAAAATCCTTCAAAAATTTATTGCTGGTATTTTTTTTTACAATAACGTATTGCAGGTATTAAAACCTATTTTTACACTTTCATAGTGTTTTGACCCCAGTTTGGGGGTTGACTATTTGCCCATAGCTAGGACACTAACAGGTGCTACCACCGCGGATCAGGGTGGACCTCCGAAAACCAGCAAGTAAGAGGTGGTTCCATGCTCCTCAAATCCTCCTGACCAGGAGCATTGCTGTCAGATGTAGATTATCAATTCTATATTACAATCAATATATAAACTGATCCCTCACTTTGTAGCTATGGTACTTCCTATACATTTGTATTCCAGAGAATGTAAATACATCTAAATGTCATGTCTGTGTAGCTAATCAGTATTTGATTGATTGATGGATTCGTTTTCAACAGATTAACAGCCTTTGAAAATTATTTATAGCCAGAAATATTTTTAGATTGTAAGAAATATTTTTGGGAGAAAATAATGATTTAGTGATACAAGTCTTAATAATTAACCCATAGCTAGGGGAGAGAGGTGGATTCATATCTTTCCCAAGAATATCTGTGCGTAAGTGAATTTAACGAACCCGACTGGAATTGGAACTCGGCTCTCCGATTAGCAATTCCGAGCCATTATCCATTACACCATCAGGACATCCAAGCTTACAGCAACTGGCATTGCCAAGACGTCACCCATCTAATTACTTACTAGGCTCGACGTTGCTTAATTTTAGTGATCGTACGAGAACCAGTGTTTCATCGACATAATAAGAAAAGACGGCTTGGAGAATTTAACACTCACAGGACATATTGAAGGCAAGAGGGACAGATGAAAGCATCGAATAACCTATATAAAGAAGTTTTTGCAAATGGATGACTGAATTTGAACAGGGAGAGATAGTAAGGGGATAAACGTTGCTTAGTTCTAAAAAGATAGGTAGTTATGGAGAGCCATGACTGTCCACATCCTGAAATGTCACGATACATAAAAGAAAATTATTATCTGTTATTTTTGCTGCTCTTCTTTTTCATAAATGGGAGGCGACCTGATGTTACGCGGCCTGCACTAAATCTAAAAATTTTCTTTTGTCTTTCTAACAGGTCGACACCTTTAATATAGCAGCTTCCAATTTGACACACTGTGCTCTTGGCGCTAACCGCTAACCAAAGCGACTCGGAGATAGCGAGCGTGTTGATAGATAGTTATACGCGCACCCCATAGTGGTAACCACGATGATTAACAAGTTTATGTCATCGATAATGACCTTAGGGAGTCGTGTACAATTATTGTCATATCAACTTACTCGTACTTCTTCTCAAATGACGCCAGGCATGGCCGCTGCGTACGACTACCGAACCGCCGACTAGCGTGGGGGCCTAGCCCGATTGAGAACTCCGGGCAGTGCTTTGAGACCCTTGTTATCTTATTTGTTTTTTTTTTTCTACCTATATTTATAAACGTTACAAATTAAACTAAGCCCAGATGACTATTAAAGGATAGGAAATTTTCGCGGATTTTGACATCATTCTGGTGTCTTTTTTCGTCCAAATCTGTGAATTTGTTTTGCACTTGGTGAGTCTCGAAAAAGCACTATTGAAAATTCATTATCTTTTATCCCTAATGTTGAATGTGTTAAAATTATTCAACAAGAAAAATTTCAAGGTGATTTATTTAAGATGGATTTATTTATTACTAGCAGGAGAGCCCGGCGTTGCCCGGGGATGTAACAGTAAGAGATAGATCAAGTATCGACCATCATAAAGACTGAAATATAAAATTGACAAAGATTATTGTTTAAGGTTGACAGACACGCATGTCTTAATTATTTTTTTTTTTTTTTTTTTTTAACGAATTGGTCAAACCCAAACTCAAACAAAAACATTGTTTTCAAACGTTATGAGTCTACCGATTGAATAGAATTTTATTATAAACAATTGTTTGTAAATGAAATTTTTAAAGCATTCTGAATGTAAAAATAAAGAAAAAAATGTGCAAGACAATAAGAAACACTATCTGCCAAAAAAAAGGTTAAACTATTGTTGATATCGGTTGAAAAATGTAGGAAATCCGATCCCATATATAAACGAACACACACACACAAAGAACCTGGGTTTTATAATAAGTATAACTCGATATGAGTTGTCCCCCTTTCATTCTCGTGATGCCTCTTAATCGTGTTTTCAAATTGATTTCGTGCAAAAACAATTGTGTTTTTCCAATTTTTGGTGCTGTCAGAACCACTGCAAGGTAATTTTACTTAGTCCTGTGAAGTTTTGTTGAAATCGGTTGAAAAATGTAGGAAATCCGATCCAATATATAAACGTACAGACACACACACACACACACAATCTGCGTTTTATAATAAGTAAGATTATACATCCTTGGAATCAGGATGATCCCGGGATTGAAAATCTGCCCTTCATATGGTGTTTGAACCTCCGGCATTCGGATTTGTGTCCGGATGGGGAGGGGAACATTTAAAAATTCTATTTTAAGATAACTAAAAATAATAGTGATTTTAAAATTGTGAATTTATTTTATTTTATTTTTTTTTTTTTTTTTTGCTTTAAATTCAATTTAAATTATCTCCAAAAATTGAGGAAATCAAGTTTATTTCTTCAAAATGCCAAGGAATCGGAATTAAAGTTTGAAGTTTCGTGACGTGCGGTTTTGAAGTTCCGCAGAGTTTGTGATTTGAAGAACTCAATTTTTGACCTGAATTAGAATTTCGTCTCAAATCGGAGTTTCGGCCCAATTCGGTCTATAGGCCGGAATTGGACTTATCGCCCGAATCAGGGTTAAAGTGAGGTTTTGAAGTGTCGTGGAGTGAATTAAGGAACTCAAAGTTATTTCTTTAAAATTATCATTGATTTTTTTTTTCTAAGTTGAACCAGAGGTCCCTTTAGTTTTGGCGCGGAGACCCAATTAGTCATCCGCAGGAGTTAGTTTTAAAGTCCGCGCCGAGTTTTTCAAAGATACAAAACAAAAAGAAACATACAGAGATTAAAAGAAAGAAACAAACAAACAAACATGCTGAAGATGAACTAACCTAAAGCCGATAATCTGAACGTCAACAAATCTTTGGCCGAATCCGCTGCTGCCATTCAACACGTTTATCAACTGAAAAATAAGAAGTTTTATTTATTTATTTACCTATCACCTGGAGTCAGTAAACTTCAATGTGTGTATTTGGCCTTCTAGTATATTATATAGTGTGTTTCCTTTTTAAGCCTTTTCACGCTAATTTCTTAGGGTTATAGAAGTGTTGCTTGCGTAGCGAACAGTTGCTACATATTGTAATGGAGGACGTTGCTGTTGGTCAACAGTTTGCACCAAAATAAATGGATACACCCTTTTCAAAAAAAATTAATTCCAACACGAAATATATATTTTTATATAATAAATAAAATAATAGACAAAATATACTTGTGTACACAGATAGCTGAAAAAATAAGAAAAACATAGACTTTGCTGTTAGAAAGTGTGTGTGTATGTGTGTGTGTGAGATAGATAGATAGATAGATAGATAGATAGATAGATAGATAGATAGATAGATAGAGATGCGCCACGTGGCTGGATGAAATTAAGAAGACAGCCTGCAGGAAGAAGAAATCTCTCCAGGCGTAGAGAAGTCCTGTTGTGTTCGCTACTACATTCCGCTAGTTTGTGGAACCGACTCCCAAGAGGATGCCTCCCACCCCGATCACTACAATCTTGGCCTACACCCGGCAGCAAGGCCTCTGATCGGGAGCTTTTTAGGAGAGTGGAATCACCTCTTAATGGCTGGTGTTCCCAGGTCTACTCTGACCTAGCACCTGTTAGGGTCCAAGCTATGGGGAAACTGGTAACCCCCGAACTGGGGTCAAAACACTATGAAAGTGTAAAAATAGGATTTAATACCAGCAATACCTTTTTGGAAAAAAATATTACCAGCAATACATTTTTTGAAAAAAAAATACTAGCAATAAAAATCCTGTCGCCATTAAATAACCCCTTGAAGATGATATGCCGTAAAACAAAACAAACAACACGATTTTGGCCTGTACAAGTCTACGGTTAACCGTTATCTTTCTCACATATACCCAGAAACTTTGTTTCTTACTCTGTAACCCTCTACCTTGACTGGGTCATTGGCATTGTACAGAGTGTACATTATTGCAAAAGCTAAAAAAATAATAACATTCAGGGGATTTCATGGTTGTTCGTTATAATAGTGTAAATATTCATCGAGGTGTTCATTTTTTAAAAGTTTTTCTTCCCACCACACAGACAAATTGGGTGCATATTTTGAGGTATTATGTTCGTTCTAGTAAGAATAATAAGTAAGTATTTTGTGTTTTAGTGCAAGAAATATTGTATTGTCTGTTTGGGTCAGTGATTGTTGCTAAGTTTAAGGTAAGACAGATGAATACCAAGTTTTCCCTACTTCTGGCCTTGTGCCTCATTTTCTGCTTTATACAAAAACAAATATTATGGCTGTTCCTTAAATGAATTCCGAACGTTTCCATATAAGCTAAACGGCTAATATTAACATTATATTACGTAAAATATGTGTGACATAAGGTCACGTTTATGGAGTACTTAATGGAAAATGAATTTTCAGATAACAATGGATCAGACTGACTGCTTCAAGATGAAAATGTAGCAATAAACATATGTCCGTAACCTAAGAAAAAAAAAGAATTGTTTGTGGATATAAATACGCGGAATCGTATTTAGTCAATTATCCCTTTTAATGGGTCGTATTGGTGGATGCAGATGCCGTATCCCGTTGTGTTTTAAAGTCGAGTCTATGTCGCAGTTTGACTTATGGTCAACCATTGAATGCCGTGTCATTTAAACCCCGCGGTTTAGTTATTTTACTAAACGCGACACCGGAAGTGGAGTGTCGTCTGCTCGGTTCTTGTTTCCGTCGACTGTTAGAAAGGCGGAAAACATATTTTCCTGAAGTGCGCATTATTTTGAATGGAAACCGACTTAATTATTTTCCCTTTTTCTTTTCTTTTCTTTTCTTTTCTTTTCTTTTCTTTCTTCCTTTCTATGCGTATTTATGTGAAAATAAGTAGGGTTGGACGCAAGATGGCATATTGATTTTACGACATGTCAACACTTGTTGAGTTATTTAATGCCGACTTTTTATGGGATACCCAGTGTGGATCGAACCCACTACTCAATAGTAAAGGTCAGACAGACACGCTCCGCTAAAATTTACCCGACACTGAGGCGCCACCTTTAAACATATAGTGTACAATTAAAATAAAATAAAGAGTAATCACTTTACTAAATGATAGCAATAAAAAATCGATCCCCCATTTTATATATAGACAAATCTTATATTCACACTAATTTACCCATCCCATCAAAAATATCTAAATATTTAACTAAGTCCTTCCTATTCCCGTACTAAGTTAAGCAACATCGAGCCTAGTCAGTATCTAGATGGGTGATCTCTTTAGAATACTAAGTGCTGTACTCTTGGATGTGAGGGTGAAGTGCTTACGACCATATCACATAACAGCGTTTCTCGTACGATCACCGAAGTTAAGCAACGTCGAGCCTGATCAGTACCTAGATGAGTAACTGTTTGGGAATATCAGCTACTGCAAGCTTGGATGGGAGGGTGGTGCAACTGATAACCACTCAGAATTGGATATCGGAAGGCCGCGTTTCAATTCTCGTCATGTTTATTATATTCACTTACACACAAATAGCCTTTGGAAAGGTATGAATCCACCTCTTCTTTCCACTAGCTATGGGTTAAATAATAGGATTTGTATCAGTAATTCATTATTAGCTCCCAAAAATGCTTAGAATCTAAAATAAAGATTTTCTGGTATTAAACAACCTGCAAAAAGGTTGATAAGCCGTAAAAATAAATCAAAAAATTAATCGCAGTGCTTATTCAGTCATCTTCAGCGAAACTTGTATAAAGAAGCATTGTTCTCCAAATACACAATATATATATATATATATATATATATATATATATATATATATATATATATATATATATTATTATTAAGAAACAGACAACTTTGAACCTTGAAAGTTCTCTGTTTCTTAATATAATTAATATTTGCTTTGTTTTTCATTGAACTCTTTGGATTATATCCTCCTGGAATTATCCATACGGACTACCAAAAACATATTGACATATATATATATATATATATATATATATATATATATATATAATTATTTATTTAAAAATATGATTCCAACGCTACATAAGAGTTCTCATGTTTCAAAACAAGAGCCGAAAACTTCAATATAATTATTTGAATTAAATTGAATTAAAGTACTACGCTCTGTTCCATCTTCAAGCGAAATTTCTTTTTTGAATAACTTAATTTCAGGAATAAGTTATTCAAAAAAAAACACGCCTCTGTGTGTGTGTTGATAAGCATTTTGGTGCACCTTGCGATTACGGTCCAATTTCATCGTGCAATGTATCGTGAAAAGAAGAATAAATAAACAAATAAAATTTTCAATCTTTCTTTTTTCGGTATCAGGGAATAATATGTTGGTGTGAGGATTATCAAGTTAAGGGGTTCATCAAGGTTGACAGCGATGCAATCCAGGTGTATTTTTCTTTGCAAAGAAAGTATCGTTATTCCAAAAATCAAGAATTATTTCAATCCAAACTTGAAAAGAAAAAAAATGCCTCAGCAGAAGTGATTGTTTTTGTTTCATTCACGTAGTTGTTATTTTTATTCAGCCTTTCGTCTAGCGATATCCAGGACTGTGGCATTTATGAGAAGATTGCAAAGTTAGAAGTTAGCCGACGTTGGCATCGATCAAATCGAGTTGTGTTCTCTTGCTCTGGTATTTACCCATTCCCCCACGAGAATGAGATGTGACACAAGGTCGGATTAATGTGGGAGATCCGAGCGCGTACGCCCGAGACAGGAACAAAAATTCCCTTCAGCCCCCGCAACCATCGGTTGCGCTGGCCTCGGTGCGAGCACCGATCCCTCCCTCTTGTGCAATGGGAGGGCGCGTCCTCAGGCAGCTGTTCCCCAGGGCTGGGCACCTCTTCAGTATAATTTTCTCAGTTGCCTCTCCGTCCTTAGATAGAGATGCCCCTGAGCGCAATCTGTCCAAGGACAGAGACGCAACTGAGAGATGATAAATAGTACGCGTACACCCCTCCAAGGAGGTGGAGCACGTCGCGCTTGCTGTGATAACATTAAAACCATTGCTTGATTATTCAGTAAACATCTGTTTATCGCGCGAGATAAAGGTAGCGCTCTGTTTGATCAAAATTTAGTCCTTTGATGGTGAAACTAGTGACCTCTCCAGGGCACAGGCATGGTCAGTGGTATATGGAGGTCGTGCGCTGCTCAGACTAAATACCCCACCCATTTTCAGCCTTATCGACAAGAACCATGGTATACATTTGGGAAGGGCTTGGCTGCAAGAGTTTCCGGATACTTGTCAGTGTTGACAGCCAACATTATTTGGGGTCTCCACTCCAAGTTTCCTGTCTGGATTTAGCTTCCATAGCCTTTTCCGTGTTTGGATAAGACTGCAAGGCAGCGAAGGTTTAAAATTAGGATTTCTCTTCCCCAAGATGAACTGCCTCCCTGGGCTGTCGACATCCATCTATCCGAAGCAACTGGTTACTAGTTGCCCGTTATTCGCTTTTGCCCATTCGTCAACTTGGAGCTGGACATAGTTGTTAGAAGCGATTTGTTATGCGTGCAACGAAAGCATTTATAGACAATGAAAGTTGTCACACCCGGCTATAACAAGCTTAGAACATATATATAATGTACGTGTATACATATATATATTACGTGTTTTAGAAGCTACGCCCAAAATTAACGTTTTTTTATATATATAAAATATCAGTCTCTATTTCTGAGATAAGGTATTGTAACTATTTACACTATTTACATTGTTTGGACTGTTGTCCTCATCTTTATTGCCATATTCACCTTCAACATCTGTCTCTATTTCTGAGATGAGGTATTGTAACTATTTACACTATTTACACTGTTCGGACTGTTGTCCTCATCTTTATTGTCATATTCACCTTCAACATCTGTCTCTATTTCTGAGATGAGGTATTGTAACTATTTACACTATTTACATTGTTTGGACTATTGTCCTCATCTTTATTGCCATATTCACTTTCAATATCTGTCTCTATTTCTGAGATGAGGTATTTTAATTATTTACACTATTTACATTGTTCGGACTGTTGTCCTCATCTTTATTGCCATATTCAACTTCAACATCTGTCACTATTTCTGAGATGAGGTATTTTAATTATTTACACTATTTACACTGTTCGGACTGTTGTCCTCATCTTTATTGCCATATTCACCTTCAACATCTGTCTCTATTTCTGAGATGAGGTATTGTAACGATTTACACTATTTACATTGTTCGGACTGTTGTCCTCATCTTCGTTGCCATATTCACCTTCAACATCTGTCTCTATTTCTGAGATGAGGTATTTTAATTATTTACACTATTTACATTGTTCGGACTGTTTTTTTTTTACTTTTTCATAAATATGTAATTAAAATTAATGCTAGCTTTTACATTGCACATTAGTGAAATAGGAACCTCTGTCAGTCTTTATAAAACTTGTATCAATGAAAATCTGGTGCTAAAATATACTATATATATATATATATAGAGAGAGAGAGAGGGGGGGGAGGGGAAGGGGAGTGATAGATAGATAGATAGATAGATAGATAGATAGATAGATAGATAGATAGATAGATGTCAGTGTCCATTTTTTTAAAAACCCATTTTAAACCTTATGTATCGCGAATCAGTGGAGGAACCTATTTTAATGTTAAACACAATGATAAGACTTCAGTTGAAGCTATAAATCAACCCATATAAATTTTATTGATCACTATAAAGTCGGCTAGGGAATTTCAGAATATTTCAGAATTGACCTGTTAATAGTTTCTTTAAGAAGATACCCTTTTTAAATTCATGATTATTAATAAGGATTTTCTTGAACTTTTTATAAATATATAAATAACATTAATGCTAGCTTTTACATTAGACATTAGTGAATTAAGAAAAAATTAATTAAAAACTTCTGTTGGTCTTTATAAAACTTGTACCAACGGAAAACTGGTGCTAAAATACACTTCATAGATAGATATTAATAGGCTGTGAGATAGATAGATAGATAGATAGATAGATAGATAGATAGATAGATAGATAGATAGATAGATAGATAGATTTGAAAAGGCTAAGAAATATATAGATAGATAGATAGATAGATAGATAGATAGATAGATAGATAGATAGATTTGAAAAGGCTAAGAAATAGATAGATAGATAGATAGATAGATAGATAGATAGATAGATTTGAAAAGGCTAAGAAATAGATAGATAGATGAATAGATAGATAATGATGAAGATATGAAAAGGCTAAGAAATAGATAGATAGATAGATAGATAGATAGATAGATAGATAGATAGATAGATATGAAAATGCCAAAAGATAGATAGATAGATAGATAGATAGATATGAAAAGGCTAAGAAATAGATAGATAGATATGAAAATGCTAAGAGATAGATAGATAGATAGATAGATAGATAGATAGATAGATAGATAGATAGATAGATATGAAAAGGCTAAGAAATAGATAGATAGATAGATAGATAGATAGATAGATAGATATGAAAAGGCTAAGAAATAGATAGATAGATAGATAGATAGATAGATAGATATGAAAAGGCTAAGAAATAGATAGATAGATAGATAGATAGATAGATAGATAGATAGATAGATAGATAGATATGAATAGGCTGAGCGATAGATTGATGTATGCCAGTGTGTTTGAATAGATTGAGATATTTCATATTTGCGGATACAGCGGATACCTGGAACAACTGTGTTACGTTTTGCGATCACTCTGTTAAATTTTTCTCTTAAAGTAAATACAGGCGGTCGGAATAAAAAGAGACTGCTGGAATTATATATTTATATATTACCTTTTAATATATTTTTAAAGTAATTTTTATTAATGAAATGCTTTTTCCTAGAATGTTCAAGTATGGGAAGAAATTTCCTAAATAATTAATAAAAAGGGCGTGTGGGGAAATTAAATAAAAAACAATAAATAAAATAATAATAATAAAGAAAAAGAAATTAATTTTCCCATGATGCAAGTTATAAAGAAACCGGAAAATGTTTCTGGTCACATGCCCGATCTTATGACCCCACTTCCAGAAAGGACAGAATCTTTCTCTTTTCCACTTTCCAACAATATCGTTTGGGTGTGTTTTAGCAGCCTTACTCATGAAATAAGTGAATTGGTCGTTTCAACTCAGCGCAAAGCTGACTTGAGCGAGACCATTTTAACCATTGTTATCCTAACTTACTTCTGAACTAAAAAATAAAAAATAAACAGACATACCCAAGAGACATTGAGAACTTTGTTTCACTACAGTAACCATAATAAGAATAAACGCCCATAGTATAAACTAAATTGTTTTCATGATTCTTCTATCTTTGTTTACATACATATGATGGACAATCACCATCACCCAAAGTACACACACACAAACCCTATAACTTGTTAACATCTATAGGTGTACGGAATAAAGATGACACACGTGGATTTTTTTACAAAAAAGTATTTATCATCCCAGCTTGTCTATTTGAAACAGAAAGGTATTATGAATAAAGATTTTTTTTTAATTCAGCAATCTAATTATAACGTTTTATATTTTAAAATAATCAAGTTACAAACCATATTTCTTATGTAGGCTTCGGCTTGTCCAAATTCTTCTGTGTCTTTTCTAGCGAGACTCGAAGACCATTTCAAACCGTTCGTAATTCGGATGACACCTTCAAATTCAACGTACGTGACGCTCGCATTGTTTGGTTCAGGTATCACTGATGGGGTATTCGTCTTTTGACGTATTTCCGAGGGGGAGGAATTGCCTATTGCCGTATTGGACACCGGGATCGAGGCAGTCACAGGTATGCTCCGAGTCATGCTAATACCGTGGTTTGTCACGCTCTGGATTGCAGTGGAAGGTTCTTCTTGGAGGGCGTCAAAACTTTTTGCAGACGACCCATGTGGAACACTTATTTTAATCGTGCTTGACAACTTCCCGTTCATTTCCTTGGTCACGTGATCGGAAAGATCACTTCCGGTCGTCTGCGGTTCTCGAGTTATTGGACGAGGAATAATGCTCGGTTCGTCTGTTGTATTTTCGATGGCTTCCGAGGCGTTCATTTCTGCGCTAACTGTCGTCTGCTTTTCGTTGTCATCGGTAGACATGTTTATTTGACTAATAATGGTAACCGAGTTTGTATAAAGTTTTTCTTTTTCTTGTGTCGTCACAATCATTGTATCCTGTGTCGCCATTGCTTTTTCAGTTCCTGACGTTTTTAAAGCCAACTCAGGGGGTAATGTTTTAAAATCGTTCGGAATCGTCGAAGAGGAAATTGGCTGATTCTTTGTTTCCGTTCCTGCCAACGATTCGGTTGTGAACAATTCGGAGATAGTATTTCTTTTGTCACTGGTACTCTTTATATGAGACGTAGGAAAAGTCGTTTCAGTTGTCTTTTTATTTCGCTGCGTTAACGATTCTGTAAAGGAAGCCACATTTCCAAGCGAAGTTAGACTTATACTCTCTTGAAGATTGGAAGAAGACAATGGGTCATGTCTTGCCGATGACGTACTTTGCGCATCGGTTGTGGTTGAATACTCTGATAATTTTTTCAAAAAATTAATCGTTGTTTCATAAGCAGGAAGATTTTTTACTGACGGATCTGTACTACGAATAATGCCATTGATTTCCTCTTCAGCTCCTGGTGCGAGAGTTGAAACGACCACTGAATTTTCTGTTAGCGTTTCCAATGCAGCGGCTGAGCTCAATATTTTTACAGGAGTTTCGGTTTTCGAAGGTGGTGAAGAAAAAAGCTGAATATACTCTTCGGAATGGTTCGCTGCTTTACGAATATTGTTGCTTTGTGTGGTTTTTGTAACAGAGTCATCTCGCTTATTTGTCGACGAAGGATATACAACACCGGAAGTCCTACTTGCGTCAAGCCGAGATGACACTGTTTTATCTGATGTATAACTCAATGTCAGTCCACTTGATTTCATTTCTTGTCGGGATTCGGTTGTAGAAGCAGAACTTTCCTGGATTTCTTGATTGAGTGTAGAAGCAGTTTCCACGTGGTCTTCACAACAAGTTGCTGCTTCCGTTAGCCATTCAGTAGAATTCTCCAAAGATATCTTCTTTGATGAGGAATTAGACAGGCTAGATGTTATTAAAGTTTCTTTTGTGATTTTTTCTGTTCGCTTCGTTTCTATAGTTGGCACTAAAGGTGTTTCCGTCGGTAACCTCGAAGAGAACAGACCTTCGCTGATATCCGGAAATGCTGAGATTTTCTGGGATTCTAATTCAGTGACACTGACTGTTTGTAAAACAGGACTCGGCGTCTCCAAAATATCCGTATTCCTGCCGGCTTGAGTCGTCCAAAATATCGTCTCCTCTTTTGTGCTTTTCGTTTGCTGGCTATCAGTATCCGAGAGCATTTTGAAATTGTCTGTTTTCCAATCGTACTGGGGAAGTGTGTTTGAAGTCGTTATGGTATCTACCAGATTGTTTTGTCTGGTCATTTTTTCATCTGATTCAGTTTTTTCAGATGCGTGTGTTGACTGTATTTCAATTTGCTCACCGGTATTGTTTTCTGGTTGAATCACTCCCTTTTTTGTCACGAGTCCATTCATCCCCGTTGCAGACAACGAGATTGTAACTGCTTCCTCTTTAGCAGGAGCCGAGGCGTTTCCATTATTATGGTTTGCGAGGGACGTTAACAGTGCCTCGTTGTCCTTAGTGACATCGATCGTAGATATAACGCTAGTGACAATTCTAGATTGATCGCTTTTGCTTGCGGGAATGACAGTAGGATTTGAAACCGTAACCTCTTTTTCAGTGCCTACTTTTGTCGTTGCTTGTTGTATATCGTTTGTGTTAAAAATATTCGATCCCGACGAAGTGTCGACTGTCATTAGCAAATTGCCGGCATTACTTGAAAATATTTGTTCACTGGTGAAGGCAGCTGATTGGTTTGAATTAGAATCGGTTTTCTTAATTATCGAACCAGGAGTTGCTTTTGACGTCCTTGATGATATAGTATATACTTTGTCTGAATTTAAAATGTCTGATTTTTCGGATGTTGCAAGATTTTTGAAATTCAATTGAGTCATTGTTGCTGGTTTAGAATTTAATGACGCTTCTGTTTTCGTGACAGACGTTCTTTTATTTGTAGGATTTGTTGTGTATTTTGCAGTGGCTTTAGTGTACGACGAGATAAGATTATCGCCTGTTTCATGAACTTCTTTGTTAGTTTCTTTCGGTTGAGAAGTAGAACTCTCCTCTAAAGAGAGATAATAAGAAGAAGACCGCGTATCCCAAGTGGTGATAGCCGGTGTGCTATTTAAATCATTCATTGTCACGCGTGTAGTTCTAATCCGATCGTCTTTGCCGGTTAGGAAGGATTCTTTGGTCTTTTTTAGTGTTTCAGTTGAAAACATATCGAACGACGGCGAATCGTTCGTTGATGACCGAATTATTGATTTGGTTGTGATTTCTGAGATCAGATCAGTCATCTTACCAAAGTCAACGTTATCAAACTGAGCTGATGTAGATGTTCCCTGTTTATCATTTAATGTATAACTAAACATTGTCTCATTGTTATCTGTCAAAGGTTGAGACTTGCTTACTGGATCAGTTTCAACATTGGAACTCGCTGACGTGGCTGTTCTCTGTTTATCATTCAATGTATAACTGAACGTTGTTTCAAAGTTGTTATCTGTCAAAGGTTGAAACTTGCTTACTGGATCAGTTTTAACTTTAGAACTCGCTGACGTAGATGTTCTCTGTTTATCATTCAATGTATAACTGAACGTTGTTTCAAAGTCGTTATCTGTCAAAGGCTGAAACTTGCTTACTGGATCAGTTTCTACATTGGAGTTCTTCGCTGATGAAGACGTTCTCTGTTTATCATTCAATGTATAACCGAATGTTGTTTCGAAGTTGTTATCTGTCAAAGGTTGAGACTTGCTTACTGGATCAGTTTTAATATTGGAACTCGTTGGTGTAGATATTCTCTTTTCATCATTTAATGTATAACCGAATGTTGTTTCAAAGTTGTTATCCATTTGAATCTTGCTTACTGGACCAGTTTTAACATTTGAAATCACCGTTGAGATTTTAATACTTTCGTCTTTAGATGCCACACTTGAGAGGTCAACTGTCGTAATTTTTGATTCCCTTTTTGTTACTAACTTTGGTTCTTTTGTGTAATTATTTTCAATTTTGGTTGATACGTCGCTACTATCCGTCCATAATTCGGGGCTCTGACTACTGCTTACAGGATTGTTTTCCGGGCTCCCGACTTTTAACTCATCTACTGCAATTCCGGTGCTTTTTTCCATGTTTTCTCTTGTTATCAATGATATTTGGTTGGTAAAATCAGTTTTTGAATCGGGGCCGGGGAAATTGGTTGATATTTTTGGTGACGAAGTTGGTGTGCTTAAAGCGTTCGATTTTGTGATATCATCGTCTGAGTGCGCTGACGCTGAAGATAGACTGGAGGTTTCTCGTCCTTTGGGATACATCTGAGTTGACGTCATTGGAAGAAAGTTGTCCGTCGGCGTCAATATTTCTGACGCAATTTCTGGTGGCGGTAACTTTGATGTAGCGACTTTCCCTGTTGGTATAGTTGTCACTGAACTATCAACATCAGAACTGGAACCAGTTTCAAACAAGGAATCAAACTGGCCTGTTGTCTGGAATCTGGGATCTGGAATTGAATGACCGGAAGTCTTCGTGTTTTTTCCATACATCTTAGTAATTAAGCTTTCTTCAGTTACCATTTTTGCGGATGTTGAGGCCACTAAGTTTGCTTCACTCTTGGCTTTGCTGATATCAGTTTCGGGCTCGTAGACCGGTAGCTGTGTTGATGTAATCGATGTGCTGGTTCGTATATGATCTTGCAGATATGTGTCCGATATTAAAATCTCCGCATTGGTTGGGGTTTCTCTTGAGGTCGACTCTGGCAGCGGATTGGATGATGGTGAAGTTAATAGAGAAGGGAATAAAGATTGTTCTGTTGACGGGGAAAATGAAAGATCGACGTCTGCGGAAGATGGTGCCGTTGGGTTGGGAGGCTGGACGTCAGAGTAAGTTGAAGAATCGTCGGGCGTTGTCTCCAGAGAACTCGGTTTTTGGTTTGTAGAATCTGTTGCCATGACAATTTCACCGTTCTTTTTTAATTGACTAATTGCTGTTGTTGCAGTGGTATTCAGCATCTGTGGGGGTGATGATTGCTTGGAAGTCAGGAATGTTTCTGAAACTGATACGCTAGAAAAGGGCGTTGCCGCTTGGACTGGTAACGGAGGGGCTGTTAGTAATGGTGATAGGGACACATTGGTGGAAAGAGAGGAAAGAAAGGTAGAAGGCGATGATAATAAGGAAGCGGAGGATAATGAAGAGCGGGATGAGGACAAAGCGGAAGAAGAAGAAAAAAAAGAAGACGAAGATGATAAAGAGGAGGAGGGAGGAGATAATGAAGAGGAAGGGGAGGAAAACAAAGACGATGAAGTTGAAGACGATAAAGAGGAGGAGGAAGATAAAGAGGAGGACATTAAAGAGGTGGATGGTAAAGAGGGGGAGGAAGAGGAGGAAGTTAATGGAGAGGAGTGGGCAGAAGATAAAGATGAAGAGGAGGACAATAATGGGGAGGAAAACAAAGACGAAGAAGAGGAAGACGATAAAGAGGAGGTGGGGGAAGCAAAAGAAGAGGAAGAGGAGGAGAACGAAGAAGATGAAGAGGAGGAGGAAAATGATGAAGAGGAGGCGGTGGACGCCAAAGAAGATGAAAAGAAGGGGGATGACGATAATGAAGAGGGGGAAGATAATGAAGAGGAAGGAGAGGAGAACGAAGATGATGAAGAGGAGGAAGAGGAAGTTAAGGGGGTGGAAGTTGATGAGGAGGAAGCCGCTAAAAAAGTGGAGTAGGAGGATGAAGAGGAGGAACGGGGGAACGATAAAGAGGAGGAAAATAAGGAAGAGGGAGTAGTGAAGGACAAAGGAGATGAAGAGGGCGACACGGAGGAGGAGGTTAATGAAGAAGAGGGAGAGTAAGGCAAAAAAGTTGAGGAAGAGAACGATAAAAGAGAGGAGGGGGAAGATGAATATGAAGAGGGTGTTGCGGAGGATAACGAAGATGAGGACAAAGAGGAAGAGGATAAAGAAGAATAAACTGGAGAGGAGGAGGGGGAAGAGGAGGAGGAAGGGAAAAAAGGAGAGGAGGCTACAGCGGAAGAAGATAAAGAAGAGGGAGGAGGGGAGGATAAAGAATAAAAGAAAGGTGATAAAGAAGACGAGGGGGGCGTAGAAGTGAAGGAAGAAGATGAGGAGGATACAGTAGTGGAAGCAAGAGAAGAAGAAGAAAAATAAGAGGACGAAGAAAAGGAGGATGGTAAAGCAATGGAGGCAGAGAAAGAAGACGGGGAAGAAGAGGCGGGAGAGTATAGAGAAGAAGAAGAAGAAGAAGAAGAATCGGAGGAGGGTACAAAAGAGTAGGAGAGAAGAAGAAGAAGAAGAAGAAGAAGAAGAAGAAGAAGAAGAAACGGAGGGTACAGAAGCGGAGGAGGTCACAGAAGAGTAGGAGGAAGAGGAAGAAGCAGGAGAGAACGAAGAAGTGGAGGAGGGTGAAGATAAAGAAAAGGGGGAGAGAGAAGACGATAAGGTGGATAAGGGTGAGGAGGAGGAGAAAGGATCTGGAGTGGTGGAAGATAAAGATGGAGGGGAGAATGAAATGGCGTTTGATAAAGAAGCTTCTGCTGTGTTTTCTTCAAAAGTCGAACTATGCGACAAGCCATTATTTAGCGTCGTGTAATGTGTACCAGACTTCGAGAATCCCGTCGAATCACTCCGAGGCATCATGGCTGACGTTCTCTCAAACCGATCACTCGAACTATCTTCGCTTAAAATCTCACTGGTCTTTGAAGAAAACGTTTCGCTCTCTGTGCTCACCAAAGAGACGCTATCTTGGCTTTGATTGTGATTTGGATATGACTTTGAGACGCTCATCACTGGCGTGTCGTTGTCGCTGAATGGATTTAGAGTTGCCCTTGTATAAAGATTGAAATCATTATTTTTTGTCGGCTGTGTTTCCGTATCCATTGCAACAGGATCGTTAGTTATCTGCGAACCATGATCACTCGTGACTCCAACTATCGAACGTTTGCGACGAAATATCTTAGCACTTGAAATTATATTCGAACTGGATCTGTTCGAAGATAGGGTTTGATTTTTATCGAAGACACCTTCTGGTTTTAGAACCGAAGAGTCACTACTAAGAGTAGAAATCATAACATTAGCTTTTCTGGAAGAATAAAGCATAGGCAATTTATTCAAAGTCGATATATTTCGGTTAAAGCGACTTGGAACAAATACTCTTTGATTTGGTCTTTTAAACAATGGCATTTTACGGCTCATTCTATCATACGTTTTCCTTTCTTTAAATGTTAAAGCGTTTTTCTTTCCTTTATTCAACAATTTGTTTGTGGATAGCGACAATGAATTCTTAAGCTGATCGTTGATAATGATATCAGGCATTACTTCAAGTTTGGTTTTATTTCTACCTGATGAGATATTCAGAAAAAAATCCATTGGTTTTGATGTTATTTTTTTCATTTTCTCTAATGGTTTAACCTTCAATTCAGCCAGAAAGTCCTCATCAGACGCAGAATTTGAGATTAAAGAAAATTTGTTGCTTTTTTCAAACATGGCATCACTCTGGAACAACATCCGGTTGCTACTTTCAGCATTTGGGAAATCGTTTTTATTTTCATCGCTATCGACATCTATGGTGTACTGCCAGTTAGTCGGTTGTCTGTTTTTAAATTCTTTTGTCGACGCTTGGAAAGTGTTTTCACTTTTTAGCTTTCTAGATTCAAGTCTCCGACCAAATTCGTGAGATGTCAAAGTCTGTGAATCCAACTTTTGAATTAATCGGTCGTTTTCAAGAAACTCTTTTGGTCTTTCCGTCCACCTTGCGTCTCTGATATCTAAGACACGGTACGCTTTTCTGTCGGCGAAACCATTTCCTAGAATGGAGTATAGTATTATATTAATATTACAATATTAATGAACATATATATATATATATATATATATATAAAAAAATATGTTGTAGTGGTTCCAACGAGAGAAAAGTATATATATTAAAGAAGAGGGGTGCCGCAAACGTTTTTTGGTTGTAATGTGGATTTATTGAGAAAAATATTATACTTTGTTTTACATAATTTCACGACACGTGTTTCTGGTCTGGTCTCACAACCGTCTTCAGGTGAAAGTGGAGATTTTTACATATTATTAAAAATAATTAATTTTCAATAATATAATATTATAACATTAATAAATGTTCAATGTCTAGAAAGAAAATTCGGATTGCCAACACACAAACAGAATGTCTCATATCGAGAATATTCCACATTGAACATGAAGAAAAATTAATTATTTTTAATAATATGTAAAAATCTCCACTTTCACCTGAAGACGGTGAGACCAGACCAGAAACACGTGTCGTGAAATTATGTAAAACAAAAGTATAATATTTTTCTCAATAAATCCACATTACAACCAAAAAACGTTTGCGGCACCCCTCTTCTTTTTAATATATATATATATATATATAATTAGAAAAAAACACTGGTCTAACGAATTACAATTAAGAAAAAAAAGAAATTTTCAAAAATAAACATCGACAAAATTCTCTTTGTCAATAGTGGAATGATTTCAATAAGACTGCCTTTGAAAAAGCTTGAATCTAGAACCAAACAGATTCTGTGGTTACTGCTTATTACGTTAACGTAATATTACGGTGTTCGTAAATTAATTACGTTTTACCAGAAAGGATGTAAAAACGAATGTGATTTAAACTTATTGAAATGTTAGATTGTTCGAAAAGCAGTAACTTTTAAACAAGGAGTATAAAAAACGGGTAAGTTAAATTTATTTAACTATTATTTATCAAAAGTTTAATCTATTTTCTTTTCGACGACTACAGAGAAACAGTGAGAAAAATTTTCAATTCCAAGCTTAATGAAATCTGGATGTTTCCCAATAAAAAATTTTGGAAAACTTTTTGTAACTACTTTTTGTTGTTACTGAATCTTCTGCCGCTTATGTAATATTCTAGTTATCGAAACAAATAGAAATCTGTAGGTGCTAAACTCTGGTGTGTATTGAGAATGGAAAATAATCTTCCACCATATATCTTATATTTTCTTTGTTTTGTTTTGCAAAGTGTGTTCGTCATATTGGAGAATAATACATTTTCTGTTTACCAAAGCAAGGTATTTTCAATATAATATTACATATACCAATCAGGTTGTTGTCAGTAAACGTGTATAGTGGTCCTTCTATGTTCCATGAGCTCGTAATGGACAACACTTTTGCAACTTCTTTGTTGCCAATAACACTGGTAGCTGTCGGGCCAATCCAAATTGAACTTTTTCTCATTAGAAAACACCACGGTTTCCCATTTCTCTTTTGTCCATGTTACTTTTTTCTTTACCCAATCTATGCGCATCTTCTTGTGTTTAGCAGTTAAAGCAGAGGCTGTCTTCCTGTTTCGATACAGGAGATTTGACGATTTATGGAGAAGTTGACGAACTCTTCTTAGAGTGATGGGTAAATTCTGCGATTTTTGCTCGATTGGAAGCTTCTTTGGAAGCTTCTCGATAAAGTCAATGTCTGGCTGCATTTGTAATTTTTGGTGGACGACCTGAACGTTTTATGGTGACATACGATTCTTCAGGGTCCTTTAGATAATTTCTCCCAACTGTTCAGGACCTCGACAATTCTCTTGCAATGAAACTTATAGATTTTCCTTCCAGTTTATAGGCAGAAATTTGCCTTTTTCCATTTTCATTAAGTGGGGAGTTCCTAGGCATTTTGTAGTAAATGTATTCAATTATGAAATGTTTAAATAGGACTCACGTGGCTTAAAATCATCATAAGAGTCTTTTTATATTCTGCGCATGCGCTTATTCAGAAGTAAACCAGATATGCACATTTTCAAAACTGTCTTATAACTGTATCCACCGTCGAAAACGAGGTTTTGTAAATAACTTTTTGCGGGGGTGGAAAGTTATAAAATCGAATATACTCTTCTTGACAGAATTCCCCACAAAATTTCTATTGGGTTTAAATCGAATATATGTATACTATGTGCATATGTATTTCTATTGGGTTTAAATATGTATTTATATGTATTTCTATTGGGTTTAAATCGAATATGTATACTAATACCCATCAGGTCTAGGTACCATACACAAATTTCCAGAGGAATTTACGCAGTAATAAGGAATTTATTAACAATTTCATGGCATGTCTTATACTTATTTCCACCACTGTATATATATATATATATATATATATAACATTTTGTTCATATCTATATTTATATATCTATGTCATATCTAATTATATATTTATGTTATTCTGTTCATATATTTCTATCTTTGTTCATTATCTGAGTCTGTCAATCATTTATTAGATATGAAGAAGCTACGATAGAAGGATTTGAACAGAGCTAGCTAGCTAGGTATGTAACTAGATAGATAGATAGATAGATAGATAGATAGATAGATAGATAGATAGATAGATAGATTTGAACAGAGCTAGCTAGCTAGATAGATAGATAAATTTGAACAGAGCTAGCGTATAGATAGATAGATAGATTTGAACAGAGCTAGCTAGCTAGCTAGCTAGCTAGATAGATAGATAGATAGATAGATAGATTTGAACAGAGCTAGCGTATAGATAGATAGATAGATAGATAGATAGATAGATAGATAGATAGATAGATAGATAGAGAAAGAGAGGGAGAGGACGGAAGATAGGGATAAAGAGAAATAGACAATACTTTTAACAAAGGAAAAATATTATGATGGACATGGATTTTGTTATTTAAAAACTTGCACTAACTGACCGCTACCAGTAGAGGGCATCTGTTCTAATGGAGCGCATCAATCATACATGGGACGTCATTTCTTGTCGAATGTCGCCTACAAAGTGAAAACATGTCGTGCTGGGCATTAAAAATTAATGTTTGTCTTGTAGTTGATATTGCATGTTCTCCCGTTGTCTTTTTTATTATTTTGCTTTCAAGTTTTTGCCAAATAAAAACAAATCCGTCAAAAGAAAACATGTCGGTGACATTCTGTAATAAACAAAAATTATTATCAGTAAATTACGCTCAATTCCAGCTGGTACCAGGTATTTAGTATAAAATCGCTAGGTATGATAGAAATGACAACATTAGAATCTCATATCTTATGAAACAAGTCTTAAATCATATAGAATAATGAAACCGGTATAAAATTGAAGCTCATTTATTTCTCTTCTCATAATCACCAAGGTTGATGGATATGTAAGGTCTCCAGTCCTATTAAACAGGTCTTAGACCAGACAGAATAATGAGACAGGTATCACAATGAAGTCCAGTTATTTTCTGTTTAAAATTACGAGAGTTGATGGATAAGTAAAGTCTCCAATTCTATGAAACAAGTCTTAGACCAGATAGAATAATGAAACAGGTATCAAAATGAAGTCAATTTAATACTCTTCAAACTTATGAAGGTTGATTGGTAAGTAAGGTCTCTAATCCTATGAAACAAGTCTTAGACCAGATAGAATGATGAAACTGGTTGCAGAATGAAGATTGGTAAGTAAGGTCTTTAATCCTATGAAGCAAGTTCTAGACCAGACAGTATAATGAAACAGGTATCAAAATGAAGCCAATTTATTTCTCTTCAAACTTATGAAGGTTGATTTGTAAGTAAGGTCTCTAATCCTATGAAACAAATCTTAGATTAGATAAAATTATGAAAATGGTATCAAAAAGTAGTAAATTTATTTCTCTTTAGAATTACGAGCATTGATTGATAAGTAAGGTCTCCAATCTTAGGAACCAGGTCTTCGACCCGATAGAATAATGAAACTGGCTGCAGAATAAAGTCCATTTGTTTCTCTTTAAAAGTACGAGTGTTAATTGGTAAGTAAGGACTAAATCTTTGGACACAGGTCTTAGACTCGATAATGAAACAGGTATCAAAATGAAGTCAATTTAATACTCTTCAAACTTATGAAGGTTGATTGGTAAGTAAGGTCTCTAATCCTATGAAACAGGTCTTAGGCCAGATAGAATAAGGAAACTGGTGTCAAAATGTAGTCAGTTTATTTCTCTTCATAATTATGAGGGATGATGGATATGTAAGGTCTCAAATCCTAGGAAACAGGTCTTAGACCAAATAGAATGATGAAACTTGTATCAGAATGAAGTCAATTTATTTGTCTTCGAATTTAAACGACTTGATTGATGAGAAATGTCACCAATCGTATAAAACAAGTTTTAGATAGAATAGAATAATGAAACGGGCAACAAAATTAAATCAATTTCTTTTCAAATTTAGGATGATTGATTGATTTATAAAAAAGGTACTTAATCTATATATATATATATATATATATATATATATATATATATCGATATAATATAATAATAATAATAATAATAATAATAATACAATTTAATGTCCTTAACTGGACCATAGCTGAAATTAAGCGAATGGACGCCAAAACGAGAAATCTTCTCACTTGCTACCGCATGCATCATCCCAAATCTGCTGTTGATCGTCTGTATGTGCCCAGATCCGAAGAGGATTACTTCAACTAGAACTGTCCTACAAAACTACAACAATTGGCTTTGAAAGATACTTGGAAACTACAGAAGACTGGATGATGGTACGTGTCAAAGAACATGAAAGTAGTAAGCTTCTTTACTCCGTAATAAAGGAAGCCAACAAATTCAAAATGGAGTTTCAAATGGGCGTAGAAATACAAGTAAAGCACAATACACCGGCTGAAGCTGCAAAATACTTTTAAAAGACAGCAAAGGTGAATGCAACCGACCAGATACAGAAGCGATGGCAAGATAAACCGCTTCATGGCCAATACTCTGCCCGTAACAAACAAGCTGACGTAGACAAAACCAGTACCCATCAGTGGCTACGTAGTGCAGGGTTAAAAGCTGAAACTGAAGGTTTTATCCTTGCTGCACAGGATCAATGCTTGCTAACTGGGAATTATCAAGCACATATACTAAAATATTGTGTTAGCCCAAGATGCAGATTCTGTGATAAATATCCAGAAACAATTGATCATCTTGTATCAGGTTGCACGATATTGGCACCCACTGAGTATAAAACCCGACATGACAGAGTGGGCCAATATCTGCACTGGAAAAATTGCAGCTTCTACGGGAAGGAAACTGAAAGAAACTGTTATGAACACCACCCAGACCCGGTTACGGAGATAGGACCTGTTACAATTCTATGGGACTACACAATACACACTGACAGAACAATCAAAGCCAACCGCCCAGACATTGTTATTAAAGACCACAAACAAAAAAAAGTGTCTCCTTATTGATATGGCAGTCCCTGCAGACTGCAATGTATCTTTGAAGATATTCAAAAAGCTGTCAAAATACAAGGACCTTGAAATAGAAATCTAAAAAATGTAGCATATGGGAACATCAACAATTCCTGTTGTAGTTGGAGCCCTAGGATTGGTTGGAAAAGATTCCAAAAGACCAATTGAAGTGATTCCTGGAAGTTCATGCCTCAAAGAGATACAGAAAACTGTTCTGACAAGTACAGCCCACACTTTACGAAGGGCTTTATCTATGTATTTTTTTTTTTTTTTTTGTCAGTGGAAAGTGTCATGAGGCCATTTCTAACCTTAGGTCCATGGGCGGGACCCGGAAAGAAATGTGTAAACGCCAGAAATCAAAGGAAATAATAATAATAATAATAATAATAATAATAATAATAATAATAAAAAAAACTACTGACTATGAAAAGTCAAGTAAATTTATCAAAACTCGTCAGACCGTGAGTGTAGTCCATCTAAGAGAAGGAAATTTTAAACCTCTGCTGCCTTGCGACCATATCCAATCACGGGAAAAGCTTCGGGAGTAAACGGTGAAGAGAAATCTGAAGTCCCTAAGACAGTCCGATGATCTGTTCAACTTTGTTCTAGCAATTCCTGTGACGACGCCTGTGCCAAGCTGTACTGGGCTCTTCCTATCTCTCATAAAACTCTCTCCAGGCCTCCGCCCTGCAGAGGTCACATCGTTAGTGTACTGCCCTCACTAGAGCAACGCCTCGGCGCCTTATTCATCTTCGCTTTCTCAGACGCATCCTGGACATCAACTGGTCCGACCGTATCACCAATGCCGTAGTTCTCCGCCGTGCTCAGTTACCCAGCCTATACCGCTCTTCTCCAAAAGCGGAGGCTCCACTGGCTTGGACATGTACACCGTATGTCGGAAAGGAGGATTCCGAAGGTTCTTCCGTACGGGGAACTGGCCACCGGCACGAGGACGACCTCATCTTCGTTTCAAGGACGTCTGCAAAGGGACATGAGACCGGTGGAAATTGCTATCGAGATGTGCAAAGACGTCGCCAACGATCGCTCAACGAGACGCGATTTACACCGAGGACTGTAGCGAGGAGGGGAAAAACGGAGGCTTGCCCCCTGGGAGAAGCATAAATCGACGAAAAGAAAACAATACGGCAACATCGGGAAAGAGAATCTTCATATGCATTCGTTGCAATCGAGACTGTCATACTCGTGTGAGCCTGTACATCCATAACAGATTTTGCGCCGCCATTATCACTTTGGGCGTAGATCCATTTTCTGTCGCGACTAACAAATGCGACATATACAACAAGCAACGTAAATTTGGCATCGGATGATAAAAGACTGACCTTTAAACACATTTTTTTTTTAATTTCAGGAACGACCAGAAGTGTGATGCTGCCAGATCGGTGCTGTATCAAACGTATGCAACAATTTCATTTCAGGTTTTTCCCCATCAGACTGGTTTTCGCTTGACGTGATACAAAACAACAAAATTTCTTCTTTTCGAGCTTCATTCGGTGGATGAATTGTTCGAGTACAAAATCCTCGGGTGAATAAAAATAAATCTGTCGAAATCTTTTACATTTTAGGGTGGAAAATAATTCATCACCCACAAGGAGGCGGAAGCGCTTTTGAGCTCTACCAAAACTGGAAAGCGAAGACTGTGTAGCTCCCACCCATGTACAGGGCGCGATGGATAAATTGTCGTCTAAATTACGCAAAAATGAAAATAACACCGATATCTCATTTTAACAGGTATATTTACCAAAATTAGACATAAATATCTTGAAATACTAAACAGTAAATTTATTCAATAAAATCGCCATTGACTTCAACCACGGCCTCCAGACGACTTCGGAATCTCCCGCAATTCTTCTGGACAGTCTCCTTATTTAAGTTGGTGAATGCTACCATAATCCTTGCCTTCAGTTCAGATTTGATGTTACAGGGAGTGTTGTTGGTCTCTCACTCAACTGTACCTCACACATAATAATCAAGTGGGGGTGCAGTCTGTGGAATTAGTTGGCCTAATGCAGAGTTAGTTGGACAGATGTAGAGTGTGATGTGATCGCAGAAATTGTTTAACAACCGTGACTACGTTCACCTACTTGTGTGGTGTGGCATGGTGCAGAGTCCTGTTGCCAGGTATGGGTTCTTCCAGCCGCCACTCTTTTTATCCATGACAGCACTGCCTCCTCAAGGCGCTTTATGTAGGTCTCCGTGTTAAGTCTGAGGCCCTATAGAAGATGAATGAAGGCATAACTTCGCCATCACCAGTGATCACTCCAAACACCTTCAAACACCTTCGTAATCACCATTAGACTCATCCAACTCTTTCCAAATTCTCTGGACTGTCCTCAGATTGACACCCAGAGACATCTGAAATCTTCGCATTGGAGCTTTCGGTGCGAATGTCAAGCGGTGCATCATGCCATTTCCAAATGTCTGGCGGAATAAATTGCGTTATGGTGCTCTTTTTCTTACAGACGATGCCCAACTGACTTTACTGTGCACTCGACAACATCAAAAACAAACAACGTGCATGCGCGAAATTAAATATATAAAATGGCGATAATTCATCCATCCCACCCTGTATGTCAGCAGTACTCCATTTTCGGCTTGACCTCGCTCTTTTAAAGGTAGAGGATGGTATGAAGAGTCAGGTACTTACTAGAGCTGTACAGGGAACCGATCAATTTTTCAGTATATTTAGCGATGGATCGTATGCACAAGTTCCATTTGAGGTCTAGATTTAGTTTAAGCCCCAATAGGCACTCAAGGCACGGAGCACTCTCTGAGGGAACATCTATTCATAATGACTGGTGATAGTTCAGGGCCTTCTCTTTGCCTGTGTACTAACAATAATTCACTCAAAATCGTCAAATAGGTTTATATTTATATGTTTACCATTCGTTTTTGCTTCGAATATTGCTGTCACATCTGGTCTGGTATTCCTGCTATATATTTTAGAGATTCTTGATAAAGTCCAAAGAAAAAAAGCTGCAATTTTATTGGTCCTGATCTGGCAACTAGGCTTCATGTCCCAGGATTTTCAACTGTCATTTTTTTTTATTGTAAGCATGCTTCCTTGTTCTTTATATTCTCTCTAAATCTTTGTCGATTCTCACATTCCATGTCCATGATATTCTCATCATTTTTCTGTAGGAGCACATTTCTATCGCTTCAATTCTCTTCTTTATATGTGTGGAGACTGTCCAGCATTTTCTGACACATAAGAAATTAAATAGTACACATCGATTCAGTAATTTTTTCTTTGGGCGTTTCTTTTTTATTTTCCTGTTGTGTCACTATCTATAAAAGTACATATAAAATTTATAGTGCATTTGTCTGGGATTCACCCAGCAAGACTCAATAAAAAACTGTCTCAGATGAATCAATAAAATCTATCGAATCTTTTGCTTACCGATGAAGCGAAATAAATTCTACCGAAAAGGATGTGAAAATTCGTATAGCTAAAACCTGGGCCGCTTTGAATAAAATGGATATAATCTGGAAATCTGATCTACCAGACAACATCAAGCGGAGATGCTTTCGCGCCATTGTAGAGTTGATTTTAACACTTTCACTGCTACACATTTGCCAAAGTGCTGCCTCCATCCGGCCAGCCATTTTTAAAGAAAATGCCAAATTTCAACCTACATATTTTATTACACAGAAAACTGGCACCAGTGTGTTTTACAGCCTTCCATTTTCATGGATATACCTAGGAATGACTTACCAGATTAGTAATGGGTATACACATGATATCTTTTGAAGCATTGTCCTTTGTGATTTGACGATAGATGGCGCAACGGGACACTCATACCAGCGGTATGCAAAAAAAATCGTAGGTTTCCGTACTTAGCCAGCTGGAGCAAGATAAGAAAAACGAAGATCTCTGTAGTTAGCAGCCGAAGTGTTAATGCATGTTGCCACTTCTGGGGTGTTATTTAAAACTCTTACAGTCTAAGGTTGATGGAGCTGACATTCGGTTGCTGAGAGCTATACTTAACATCTCTTGGAGACAACATCCAATGAAATCAAAACTCTATGGACCCCCACCCATCCTTGATATTTCTACAATCTTACGCGAATGGAGAATGTGCTTTGCAGGCTACTGCTGAAGAGCAAAACAAGAATTTGCGAGTCATCTACTGGTCTAGACAAATAGGCATGGAGTAAGACGGATTGGTCGACCAATGAATCACCTACTTTGACCAGCTTTGTTATGACACAGAATGTCACTCTAATGACTTTCCGATAAATGATGGTTGGCGGGATAGAAAAAAAAATAAGAATAAAGTTTCGAGTGCTAGCAACGTTTAATTGCTTATAATCGTTCGTAAATTTCGATTGGGACGTGCAACATTCCCGATCGAAAAATTCTATCACTGATCCCTGATTTCTGCGTAACTCGGAAGTGGGACACATGACTAGCGAACACCGTAACACAAGGAACTAACATTATGCACACTTGAACATCGATCGACGCTACACGGTAGAAGAGCATAATTATCGTTCAATCCTCGACTTATTCATTGTCATCACAAAATGAACTGACATTAATCACGTGTGAATATAATCACTATTAGCCACGTCACACGGTAGAAGAGCATCGTCATCGACACCACTCGTGTCCGAGTTTAGTTCATCATGTTCTTCCACAATGCTTGTACCTGACATGGCTCAGGAGGCCAAGTCGTGAATGGAACAGTCTTGGGCACTAGTCACATGTGGGCGATGATCTTGGCCAGAGTTGCCGGGCCTTGTGTTACCTTCTTTTTGCTACCTCTCCAGTCTTTCTTCTCTCCCCGAAAATGGAACAACCTTCTAGCTATCGACCTATTAGCCTTCTACCTCTTTTTGGTAAATACATTTATATAATGGCCAAAGAAGCCTTCACCAACTACATGAGAATTCACCTCTAATCGAATCGATTGATTGATTTGTTTTTTACGGCTTATCACCCCTTTGCAGGTTATTTATGTTCTTCATGATGACGGTCGTCTTCGAGTATAGAAGCCAGAGGTCAGCAGTGAATATTTCGAAGACAGTAGGAAAGCGTTGTTCAGGTTAGCAGTGGATATTTTGGTAAAAGTAGCAGAGCGTAGTTCTTCCTTCTGTTTCTCTTTGCCTGACAAGCTGGCACTGGACATTCGGGTAGAGTGAACAAAAATGGCCGCCTTTATACACGACGGATTCTACGTCTTCCGATTGGTTAACCTTCTATTGGTAGACTATAAAGTGAATTAAGCGATTTGGGCTAACTCACTAGTACATAACATACACAACAAACTGCGACAATTTAAACCAGATTTTAGATTATAAGAATTTGGGGGGAAGATAATAATGATTTACTGAAACAAATTTTACTAATTAACCAGTAGATGGGGGGAGAATATACGGATCCAGACCTTTCCCAATGGTATTTGCCTCCAAATGAAACACAATGAACCCATCTGCAACTGGAATTCGGTTCTCCAATTTACAATTTTGTGTCGTTATCCATCACACCACGCGTGCACATCCAAGCTTACAGCAGCTGGTATTCCCAAGCGGTCACCTATCTAGATACTGACGTTGCTTAGCTTCGGTGGTCGTACGGGAAACGATGTTTCAACGTGATATTGTCGTAAGCACGCCTCGAATCGAACGAGCATAATAACGATTTTTTTTTTTGTCCCATTGACTTGCCACCAGAAACAACTTGAGGGTGGGTAAAATAATAAAGTGAAAACGTTTTACTCTTCAGACAGCTTTCCTCACGAAAAGGCCGACAAAATAAGCCCAGGAAACCAAGGGATATATATATATATATATATATATATATATATATATATATATATATATATATATATTTGCTTTTGGATTCATTTGATTTCTTTTATCATGAGCATATCATTAATAATCTCAATCGAGAGCAGGTGTTAATAGAACCGCCTGAGTTGTCATAAATGGGACAGGTAAAAAAAAAAAGAGGAGTGGTGCTATTGAGTGCGTGGATTTGTGGTGGATTTTATAAGAGGCCGTAGGGAGAATGGGTTTCTGAAGTAATCTTTACAAAAAGGACAGATATATTCGAATAGACTGAGATAGATAGATAGATAGATAGATAGATAGATAGATAGATAGATAGATAGATAGATTTGAATTGACATAGATAGATTTGAATAGACATAGATTTGAATAAACATAGATAGATAGATACATAGATTTGAATAAACATACATAGATAGATAGATAGATAGATAGATAGATAGATAGATAGATAGATAGATAGATTTGAATAGACATAGATTTGAATAAACATACATAGATAGATAGATAGATAGATAGATAGATAGATAGATAGATAGATTTGAATAGACATAGATTTGAATAAACATACATAGATAGATTTGAATAGACATAGATTTGAATAAACATAGATAGATAGATAAATAGATTTGAATAAACATAGATAGATATGAAGAGACTGAGATAGATAGATAGATAGATAGATAGATAGATAGATAGATAGATAGATAGATTTGAATAAACATAGATAGATATGAAGAGACTGAGATAGATAGATAGATAGATAGATAGATAGATAGATAGATAGATAGATAGATTTGAATAAACATAGATAGATAGATATGAAGAGACTGAGATAGATAGATAGATTTGAATAAACATAGATAGATAGATAGATATGAAGAGACTGAGATAGATAGATAGATTTGAATAAACATAGATAGATATGAAGAGACTGAGATAGATAGATAGATTTGAATAAACATAGATAGATAGATAGATATGAAGAGACTGAGATAGATAGATAGATAGATAGATAGATAGATAGATAGATAGATAGATAGATAGATTTGAATAGACATAGATTTGAATAAACATACATAGATAGATTTGAATAGACATAGATTTGAATAAACATACATAGATAGATAGATAGATAGATAGATAGATTTGAATAAACATAGATAGATATGAAGAGACTGAGATAGATAGATAGATAGATAGATAGATAGATAGATAGATAGATAGATAGATAGATAGATAGATAGATAGATAGATTTGAATAAACATAGATAGATATGAAGAAACTGAGATAGATAGATAGATTTGAATAAACATAGATAGATAGATAGATATGAAGAGACTGAGATAGATAGAGAGATAGATAGATAGATAGATAGATAGATAGATAGATAGATAGATAGATAGATAGATTTGAATAGACTTAAATAGATAGATACGAACAAACGGAATAAGTACTTCCTTTATTTTTTTATAAAGAGCTTACTTTTTAATAATCCGAACATGCATAATTTCTAGTGGAACATTATGCAATCAAAACGGCCATTTCTCGCTGTTATTTTCTGATTTTCTCTGTTTCATTTCTCTTGTAATGTTATGAAGAACCTAATACAATTTTCGAGAAAGTACACAATTGCAAAGAATAACGCTCAAAACCATTTGTAAACTGATCGGCAAATATCACCGGGACGTTATACACCAAATCTGAACAATTTTTATCAAGTAATACTTCTGGTTATCCGACAGGTGTGCCTCTAGGCAAATTTCTTCTCATCTATGTCAGCCTCGAGACACACCCTATATAACCAGCTCCATCTGTCCATGATTCGGCTGCTTTATCATATTTTTCTTTGTTCACAGTGTCAAAATTATTTTATGAGTACAAGTATGCATTCCTCTCCTTTCTTGCTGCAAATTCTATTGACTATAATGTTCCGCTAAATATATATATATATATATATATATATATATATATATATATATATATATATAATTAATTCATCGAGTGAAGAAGAATCCTCAACAGAATGCAGAAAGCACAGGATGGCCATTTCGTTCTATTTTGGCGATTCATCAGCAGTGCGCATCCATTACCGAGAATCGACCCGTTACGATATGAAGCAAGCGTCGTACCCACTGGACCAACGGGTCTCGGTGACGGAGAAGTAACAAACCAGGCTCGATATAGCGCCAGTTCTTCACACACACACAGACACACACACATATATATATATATATATATATATATATATATATATATATATATATATATATATATATTGTCCATGATATCTTGACCATGTTTTGAAAAATGAAAACATTATATAAATACACACATGCAACAAATTATTTCTTATTTAACCGTTAAAATAATTCATCCTTGAAAATGGCTAAATGTATAGCCCAAAGCTCTCGTTGAAAAGAACATTCGAACAGTTTTATATAATTTATCATCTGAAAAGAAAACAATTACTAGTTCACGTGAAAAATTTTATAAAAAACTAAATCAAAGCCTCTTGTCTGTCGTATTCAATGAAATGTGCATGAAAGAAGGATTGCTGTCTAATTGCACACACACACACACACACACATATATATATATATATATATATAGATAGATAGATAGATAGATAGATAGATAATTTATTCGAAAATTATAACATAAATATGTTATAAAATCACTACAAAAATAGCCATTTTGTTTCAACACTTCTGGTGTCTTATCAAGTGATGGTGTTGAATCATTTATGTTACAATTTTCAAATAAATTATATTTGCTCTACTCTGTATTGAGCACTCTTTTAAGAATAGTATTTTTGGTTATTGGAATTAACTCCGTATATACCAATCCTATACTTGTGTGTATATATATATATATATATATATTACAGTAAGGTTCACCCTGTATAAGGCCCGCGGGCCACTCGCTGTAGAGGGTCACTTTAAGAGGTAGTTTATACGGATAGAAGTGAAGATAACTGTTAACCCTAGACTTGTTAAGATTGTAGTGATCGGGTAAACATCTTCTTGGAAGTCTGTTCTACAGAGCATTGGTTCGCGGGAAGAAGTTGCTCGGGTGGAACTTACTTCTCACTGAAGGAATACAGAGGTAATATGGGTGGTTTACTACAATGAGCGTGGCATGGTGGGTACTAGCCGTAAAGGTTAGACCTGGCGGAACCAAGGAATGTAGTTCGTCCGAGCATTTTCCATGGAAGTAGCGATAGTACATTGAGAGATTCCTCACATCCCGCCTGTGAGAGAGTGGTTGGAGGGTGGAAAATAATTCGTCACCCACAAGTAGTCGGAGACAGTTTAGAACTCTATCAAGACTCGAAAGTGAGGACTGGGCAGTTCCCGCCCAAATATATAACTAGAAATCCCAAAACCGTTGGTGGAATCAACGGACAACTTGACAAAATGTCTAAATAGCCTTAAACAAGATAAAATCTCGAACAAGGATAGCATTAGGAAAAAATAAAAAAAGAAAGAAGACAAACACCTACCTACTAAGTAAAGTGCTTAATGTCTAGATTAACTAAGAGTAAAAAAAAATCTAGAAATAGGATAAGAAGTGAAGATAACGGTTAATCCTATACATGAAGAGGTTAAGACTGTAAACATCCGCTCGCGACTCGGCTCCACAGAGCATTGGTTCGCGGGAAGAAGTTTCTCGGGTGGATCTTACTTCTCACCGATGGAATACAGAGTTAATATGGGTGGTTTACTACAATGAGATTGGCATGGTGAGTACTAGCCGTGAAGGTTAGACCTGGTGGAACCAAGGAATGTAGTTCGTCCGAGCACTTTCCATGGAAGTAGCGATAGTGCAGTGTGAGACATCCCGCCTGTGAGAAAGAGGTTGGAAGGTGGAAAATAATTCGTCGCTCAAAAGGATTCGGAGACGCTTTTGAACTATATCAAGACTGGGAAGTTAGGACTGGGAAGTTGCCTCACAAACATGACAACAGTACTCCATCTTCGGCATGATCTGACACTTATAAAGGTAGAGGATAACATGAGGAGTCAGGTGCTAACTGAAGCGGTACAGGGAGCCGACCATTTTCATCGGCATCTTTAGCGATTCATCGGATATACGAGTTCCACTTGAGGTCAGGTGTGAGGTTGAGGTCCAATCTTCTCTCAAGGCACGTAGCCACACCGAGGGCACATCTGTTCAACGTGCTGTCTCATTTTCGTTTGTATTTTTAATGGAGGAAACTGAATTTCAAAGTCAATTTCGAAGAAGTAGAAAACTGCAACTATTCACAAAGAATAAATAAAACAGATCTCCGTAGCGTACGAGGGTCTGTTATAAAAATGGCTGACAAAAATGCCTTGGATATCCAAAATATTTGATACCGTATACTGTCTTTTTATTTTGTATTTTCTACTAATATAATGTTAATAGTCATATTTTGGATGTGTGTGATGTGATGGTCGATATGCGTATGAAGTTTCGATAAGTTGCAAGTTAACCTACGAGAGAGTGCCGTGGTTGTGTGACCAATGTAATAATTTAATGCTCTTTTACTATTAGTGTTAGAGATACAATTTCCCAACGGGCACGAGAATTCCTAAACAACACTTTTCAACACAAGGAGAATTCTTGAGGCCCGGTGTTATTATTAACAATTAGGATAGAGATTTTAATCTTTTTTTATAATCAATGACAAATTGTAGATCTTTGTAACGCTTATTAAGTGATATGTACATGCAAATTATATTTTTAATTTCTTTTTGATTTTGTTTATAGTTAATATAGATCAGGTTACAATAAAAATAAGGATGTTTTATATTTTTACTTATATCAGGATTTTGATTCTGATATTAAGCAAACTCCAGTTACATTTAGAATTTTAAGTTAACATCAATAGAACAAAAGACTCCTCGTCCTGGGTATAACGATAAACTACATCCAGCAGCAAGGCTTCTGATCGGGAGGTTTTGATGAGCATAGAACCACCTCTTAATTGCTGTTGTTCCCAGGTCCACCCTAACCCTGGTTGGTTGCGCCTGTTAGGGTCTCAGCTATGGGTTAACCCCCTCGAACCGGAGCCAAAACATTATGAAAGCATAAAAACAATTTTTTTTTAAAGCGAAATTACCAGCAATACATTTTTGAAGAAAAAAATATTACCAACAATACATTTGACTCTCGAGAAAAAAAAAAACTCTTTGCAAAAATACGTTAATGAAACTTGATCTATAGACTGATTTCTTACAAAGAATAAACATTCTATTCTTACGAAACTATCCTAAAAATCTTGTCGGCAATAAATAACCCATTGAGGTGTTGATATGCCGTAAAACAAAACCAAAACAAAAAGGGTTCGCATTGTTAACATGCAATAATAAAACGAGTCTTTCATATATTACTCAAAAATAGTTTTTCTAACATTAGCAGTAATATGGGATTTGCATGTCAGTTTTTAAAAGCATATTTTAATCAACTAGAAAAAGCCGTGAAAATTTGACGGTTTTTCTATTTGAATTTTCTGATTAATTTTAATTCTTAAGTTAATAAATGAGTAAGGTCATGGTGAGTTCTATGACAATAAAATATCCGTAGAAATTTTCCTATCGCATCGTTATGTATTTGAGTTTAACGTCAACAAAATATTGCAATAACAATCAGAAATATGAAAGCTGGTCGTTATTTTAGAAGTGGGTTCAACTGAAAAGATTTGAAATCGTTAACTTTTTCCATTTCACTGAAATAGACATTAAATCTTTCATGCTTTCATTCATTTTTTCACTGAAAACAAGCAATGTCTCCCCCACCCACTTCCTACTCCCATTATTTATGAGGTATTGGCAGGAGACGTTATACACATCTATCTTCCCTTCTTTCTTTCTTTCTTTCTTTCTTTCTTTCTTTCTTTCTTTCACTGAAACCAAGTAGTATTTTACCCTCTTTCCACACGATCAAAACAGAATAGCTCATTATTTATGAGGTGATGACAGGGCACGGATTGAGGAAACGGAGAGCCGAGTTCGAATTCCAGTCGAATCCATTACATTCACTTACGTGCTAATAGCCTTGGGAAAGGTATGAATCCTCTTTTTCTCCCCCTCCCAGATATGGGTAAATAGCAGGACACATTCTATAGCCTTGGATGGCAACTGGTTTACCGCAGAAAGAAATGGCAACCTACTGCGGGAGAAATCTGCTTCGTCAGTCATGTATCGAAAGATACATGATCAACTAAGCGTGTATCACGTATGGCACATAACTGACTGAATGACAGGGCGTAATGGTGGTGCAAACTAACGAAGGGAGGGGTAAGCACAATGATAATAGGATATTTCTTCTATATTATTTATTTTTAATTCAAATTTGAAAGTTTTGCCATATATGAAAAAATGATTTAGCAACCCTATCTCTTTAGTGCAATCCCCGTGACCAGATGTCCGTCAAAACCTTTCTGCGATCTATCCAAAGACATGGCGGCGAGGTCAAAAGCAGATATAACAAGATATGGCACATTGTCGGTTTAAAGTGGAGAGCCCAGGCGCATGCACATGGGCTAAGTTCCCCGCAACCAATGTCGAGCTGGTTTCAATATTCCATCGATCCTCTTCCTCGGGGAGGTGTTGCTGACGTGTTGGAATCTCCGGGACCAAGTATCGCTCATTTATTTGTTGTGTTCTGCCCGAAAACAGAAGCACAATTGAGAAATAAAATGTAGTTTGTGTTGCCGAAGACAGTAACAACACTAAGCTTGGGAGAGACAAGCACAATTATAATAGGGTATTTCAATATTTCACCATCTTTGGTGCAATCAGAGAGGTACTGCTGATGGGTTGAAATCTCTGGTACCAAGCCTGCTCTCATTTACTTGTTGTGTTCTGCCCGAAGACAGAAACACAATTGAGAGATAAAATATAGTTTGTCCACTCGAAGGTATATTTTATTTACTTGCCGTCCCCTGATGGCAGAATGTGACATAAGGCCAGTTTAATTTGGGGAGCACTAGAGCATGCAACAGGGTCAGGTCAAAAAATAGCCCATCAGTTCTGCTAGCATTAGTGAGCAGTTGTTCCCCGGAACCGGGCATCTCTCAGTATTTTAGTTGCGCTCCACCCGAAGACAAAAACATAATTGAAAGATAAAGTGTAGTTTATTGGCCCGAAAGCAGATACTACACTTTGATCGAACCCCGAGGCCGAGAAAAAAAAAAACCTTTCCAATAACATTTAATAAATTCGCTTGGTCTTTTATTGCTAGCAAATGGAGTTTGCATAAACGGTAACATTTAATTTGCACAACAATTTTAAAAAGCACATTTTTAATAAATATTTTATCCGTTTTATTTACCTTTAATCTAAAATTTTAAAATTACCATAAATGAGAAATGTTTCTGCTGATAAAGTTTTATTTTCATATTCACCGTATTTGTATAGAAAAAAGTATATATGCCTTGACAAAATTCAGTCGTAAGTTAAAAAACAGCGTTCATAACAACCAATGTTGTCGTCTGCTCTTTCATATTACTACAAATTAGTCGAACGCTCCAGAGAAAAATAAATGGAATTATCCAAATAAGTTAAAATAATATAGTCAATTAAAAGTTACTAAAACTATACCAAATTATTTAAACGGGTGAAAAATATGGTAAGTTTGCTGAATTATTTTTTGTTCTTAATTTTATTAATATAAACATTAGAATGTTTTGTTTTTTTTTCTCAAGGCCAGCAGATATCTTGCTGAAAATGCAGTTTATGCAAAAGAATAAGAGAACGTCTATGAAAATTTTTCTTTTTCGTAGGACGGGTAATTAGCTAGTATTATTAAAAATTCACAATACTGACCTAACTGCTACAAGATATCTTGATATAAATCTAGACTGTCCTGATGGTCGAATTCAATATTGATAGCTTGTAAGACGAGATTACAAGACACTGTAATTTGTATGAGTCCGGTGGACTGTATATATATATATATATATATATATATATATGAGCCAGAAAGATGGAAAGAGCTTTGATATGTGGGTGACCTCGGTTGTGTATGTATGCCTGTACAAATAAGTGAATATAAAAGTGAATACATTAAAAGAGAATAGAGAAAGCTAAGTATATTTTTGCGCTGATCTACATATCTCTTTTTTCAAGATGGAAACTCCTAAAGGAAAAGGAAATTTGTTTTTCTTACCTGAACAAAATAGGAAAAGGAACCACAACAACAACTTTCTGACGTCCATCTTTGATGCTTTGTATAATCTCGCCTTCTTGATGTCGACTTAGTTTGTTACGTCTAGAAATTCAGCCGATGAGGGCCAACGCATTGATTTCCCACTTTAGCATCTATAATTCAAAAGTTGGCGTCTTGTACGATGTTACTGGTGGTACCAGCATGTATGGATTTTTCTGTTCCTTTTTTAAGGAAATATCCATGACTGTTTCATGACATGAAATGTTCTTAAGATTATTACAGCCAAAAATATTCTCAAAATTATCTGCTATATTGTTTTCCTAAAAAACCAGCATTTCATAATGTTATAGATATTTGGAATATTATTTTATATTAATATTTAAGAAATTTCAAATCCAAAATCTTCGTGTTTGTATTCTGTACGTTTCTTTGCGGTTATTTATAAGGTACTTGATTTCATATTGAAAATATGGCGTAAACCGTTCCCTCTTCTGATGGCTGTAATAATACTGTCAAATAAGAAACGCTTTTTTTACCTTCTTTTCAGGAGAGCTCTTCCTTGCAATCCAGTACGGCGTAAATCCTTATTCTCTTAAATATACTTTTTTGAAACTGATTAAGACATTTTTTATCGATGAAGTCACTACTTTGATGGGAGTTAATAAATATTTCAAATTGAATATTAAATTAATTTAAATTTATTACAATCAAGAAAAATAAATTTACATTCTTAATTCTTTTGGGTACTGCTTTTGTCTTCGATCATTTTGTTTTTCTTTCTTTTCCCTCGACGTATGTTGAATATTGTCTTATAATATTCAGTAGTGAATTAGACTCTATCCACGTGTAACAAGGGTCGCACTAAAGATGTCTGTACACTCTTAATAAGCAATATTGTCATAAAACTGAGAATGCAAGGTTTAATGACCAATACCGTTGTCGAACGTTGTTTGCTCGCTCGTTCAATGATTGGTCCACTTACGTCTAGTGCCTAAGGTGTATGTTTGGCAGATGGTCAATATAGGTGTTGCCCGTCATCTCCGACAGGTTGCATAGGTAATATTGGACTCTGCACACCTCCGACTGTAAAAGGCAAACCGGATGGTTGCAGACCGGAAAATGCATAGCGGTCGTTGGAATGGTGGTTGGGTTGGCCGGTCATCATCACTGAAATCAGTCAGGCATGATTAACAGCTGCAATAGTTTATATGCGTGTATAAGTATATTGCTGTATATGTGTATATATATATTGGTCTATAGGTGAGCGAGAAATTATCTTTCTCTCTCTCTCTCTCTCTCTCTATATATATATATATATATATATATATATATATATATATATATATGAGTTCCTTTTTATCTTCGAAATTGTTTTTTCTTTTATGTGGCCATTTCTATTTTTTTATTGTACAGATCTAGGTTTTATTTCTTCTGTTTCTTTTTTTTACTTCCTTCCTTTCCTCTTCCATTCTTTCTTTATTACTTTCTTTCCTTCATTCTTACTTTCTTTTCTTTATTCTTTCATTCCTTCTTACTTTCCTTCCTTCTTTCCTTTATTCTTTCTTTCTTAGTTGCTTACTTTCCTTCTTTACTTCATTCTTTCTAACTTATTTTCCTTCCTTCTTTCTTTCTTACTTTCCTTCCTTCTTCCTTTCTCCCTCTATTCTTTCTTTCCTTCTTTCTTTGCTTCCTTCATCTAATCATTCTTTCTTTCTTACTTTCTTTCTTTCCATACTTCATTCATTTTTTTTTCTTATTCCCTCCCTTTATTCTTTCTTTCTTACTTTCCTTCCGTCATTCTTTCCTTCTTACTTTCCTTCCTTCTTCGCTTCTGTCTTGCTTTCCTTCCTTCCTTCTTTCTTTCTTCCTTCCTTTCATTCTTACTTTCCTTCCTTCTTTCCTTCTTACTTTCCTTCATTCTTACTTTCTCCCTTCCTTCCTTCTTTCATTCTTACTTTCCTTCCTTCCTTCCTTCCTTCTTTCTTTCCTTCTTACTTTCTTTCTTTCTTGCCTTCCTTCTTCGCTTCGGTTTTGCTTTCCTTCCTTTCTTGTTTCTTTCTTACGTTCCTTCTTTCTTTCTTTCTCCCTTCCTTCCTTCTTTCATTTTTATTTTCCTTCCTTCCTACATTCATTCTTACTTTCCTTCCTCCTTTCATTCTTACTTTCCTTCATTCTTCCTTTCTCTCTTCCTTCTTTCATTCTTACTTTTCTTCATTCTTCCTTTCTCCTTCCTTCTTTCATTCTTACTTTCCTTCCCTCTTCCTTTCTCCCTTCCTTCTTTCATTCTTACTTTCCTTCATTCTTACTTTCCTTCATTCTTACTTTCCTTCATTCTTACTTTCTCCCTTCCTTCCTTCTTTCCTTCTTTCCTTCCTTCCTTCTTTCCTTCTTACTTATTTTCCTTCTTTCTTACGTTTCTTCCTTCCTCCTTCGCTTCTGTCTTGCTTTCTTTCCTTTCTTGTTTCTTTCTTACGTTCCTTCCTTCTTTCCTTCTTCCTTCCTTCCTTTTTTCATTCTTACTTTCCTTCCTTCATTCCTTTTACTTTCCTTCATTCTTACTTTCTCCATTCCTTCCTTCTTTCATTCTTACTTTCCTTCCTTCCTTCCTTCCTTCTTTCTTTCCTTCTTACTTTCTTTCTTTCTTGCCTTCTTTCTTCCTTCGGTTTTGCTTTCCTTCCTTTCTTGTTTCTTTCTTACGTTCCTTCTTTTTTTTTTTTCTCCCTTCCTTCCTTCTTTCATTTTTATTTTCCTTCCTTCCTACATTCATTCTTACTTTCCTTCCTCCTTTCATTCTTACTTTCCTTCATTCTTCCTTTCTCTCTTCCTTCTTTCATTCTTACTTTTCTTCATTCTTCCTTTCTCCCTTCCTTCTTTCATTCTTACTTTCCTTCATTCTTCCTTTCTCCCTTCCTTCTTTCATGCTTACTTTCCTTCATTCTTCCTTTCTCTCTTCCTTCTTTCATTCTTACTTTCCTTCATTCTTACATTCTCCCTTCCTTCCTCCTTTCATTCTTACTTTCCTTCCTTCCTTCTTTCCTTCTTACTTATTTTCCTTCTTTCTTACGTTTCTTCCTTCCTCCTTCGCTTCTGTCTTGCTTTCCTTCCTTTCTTGTTTCTTTCTTACGTTCCTTCCTTCTTTCCTTCTTCCTTCCTTCCTTTTTTCATTCTTACTTTCCTTCCTTCATTCCTTTTACTTTCCTTCCTTCTTTCTTTCTCCCTTCCTTCCTTCTTTCATTCTTATTTTCCTTCCTTCCTACATTCATTCTTACTATCCTTCCTTCCTTCTTTCATTCTTACTTTCCTTCCTTCTGCCTTTCTCTCTTCCTTCCTTCTTACTTTCCTTCCTTTCTTTGTTTTTCACTTTTACTTTTTCATCTTCAATTTCCTCTTTTTATTTTCAATTTTCATTTTCCCAGTTAGAATTCTTCAAACCTTGAGACTTTGAATCTCACCACAGTCGATTTTGTCAAGAATATCATCATGAAAATATCTGGCTGGGGAGACGAACCAAGCTGGCAGCACTGTTGGGTTAACACGAAATCATAAGTCATCGTGACTGAGGGTTTGAACGAAGTGACTTTGTTCCAGTTTTTGATCACACCAGATTGTGAACTCTCTCCCAAAACTTGTAACTAAGAAACAACAGTTTGATTGCGTGGGTGTTAGAGAAACACATAATGTGCTTGAGCAGGTGTCTTCAACAGGGATTAGCTAGCCAGTCTAACAGATTGGCAAACTTAGAAAAGAATGCCAACCATTAGGCCTCTCGGTCTCTAATTATATATATATATATATATATATATATATATAAGGTGGCAATAAAGTCACTATACAGTTACTTGCAATAACAATTAAAACAAAGCAATTAATCAACGGCCCAGAAATTTGTTATTAAAATGGTTCTGGTTAATAACAATAAAATTCTCTGGTAAACAATAGTAAATTAATTACCAATACTGTTCGAACTGCAAGCCACCTGCTTCAATGCTTTGCTTTTTTATTATAAGCAACTTTAGAGTGATATATATATATATATATATATATATATATATATATATATATATATATATATATATATATATATATATATAGTGGGGGAAAACAAATATTCGTACGCATGCAAATTTTTAATTTATTGTATTTCCCACAAATGAATAAACATGCTTTTCATAAAATTAAATGTCGATATGCATCATGACTAAGTATACACAGAAAACAAAAAAAATTGATTTAATAGAAAAAATAATTAAAAATTTGTATGTGTACGAATATTTGTTCCCCACACACACACACACACACTGTATATTACAGTGGTGTTCCCACTGTGGAAGGCCCGAGGGCCACTCGCGGTAGAATGTTACAGATTAAGAGGTACAGCTTAGGTCACGATTGTAGTGATCAGAGAAGCAGCCTCTTGGGAGTCGGTTCCACATAACAGCAAGCGTGGGAAGAAACTGCTTGAGTGAAACTTATATCTCACCAGGGGAATTTGAACGGAATGAAGGTGGCTCGCTTCAATGTACGTCACGTGGAGGGTCCTAGCCGTAAAAGTTAGAACTTGTGGAACTAAGGAGAGTAGTTCATCAGAACACTCTCCATGGAAATAGCGATAGAGCAACGACAGGCTTGCGACGTCTCGTCTGTGAGAAAGCGGTTGCAAAGTGGAAAACAATTCGTCGCCTACAAGGACGCAGAGACGCTTCTGGACTCTATCGAGAGTGGAAAATGGAGACTGAGTACCCCCCCACCCATATATGGTACTCAACAGTACTCAATTTTCGACCTGATCTGGTTCTTGTAAAGGTAAAGGATAACAGGAGAAGTCAGGTACTTACTGAAGCGGTACAGGGAAGCAACCATTATCCCAGCATCTTTAGCAATGGATCGTATGTACGAATTCAATTTGAGGTTTGGGCTGAGTTTAAGTCCCAATATATATATATATATATGTCTGTATGTATATTAAGACGTGTCTTATTGAATAATTTAAACAAGTTTTGTCTACTTATTTTCAATACGATCCTTCCATATTCACGGGCAAGCTTCTTAGTATCCTTAATAAAGGAAGAAAGAAAATTACCATGTTGTTGCATATTCATTTATTTCGAGTACTTTCGATAATAGCAGAATGTCATCATCAAGATATTTTTTTCTAAGACAAAAATTGTAGTGTTCATCTGAAAATTAAATTTTTACCTGTGAAGTGAAAAACGCTAAAGTTACATACGGTACGATTTAAATTTCCCAATTAAGTTATGAAATGTCAAAATGGTTTGAAAAATCTGTTTAGGACTATTAGTTAAAACCTAGATATTTTAAACTATCTACTATAAACATATTTAAAAAATGTGCTGTATTCATAATTAATTTTTTAATTGTTTTGGTTTCAATTTTTAATATATCTTCAAGAATTTTTACATAAAGTTCCTTATTTTTATGAAAAAACATAGATGTATTTTCAACAAGAATTTTCTTAAATTGCGACTGTGGACAGGCATGGTATTGTAAATGTTGTGATGATATGTTTGAAGCATCATTCAAATGAATACATTTAATTGTTGCATACGAACAAAACAATCTTTATCGTGAGTGATTGTTTTGTCCGTATGTCACAATTTAGAATAAATTACTATTGCTCTACTCGTGATACTGAGCCTTCTTTTGAATTAATGCTATGAACGTTTGAATTTATATTCTTTTCGTTCTCATTGCATTTTGGATATATATATATATATATATATATATATATATATATATATATATATATATATATATATATATTAAGGGTGATTTGAATAATCATAATTAATTCATCGAGTCTAGAATAATCCCCAACAGAATGCAGAAAGCACTGGACGACCGTTTCCTCCAATATATATATATATATATATATATATATATATATATATATATCACTGCTTGAACCGGCTTCTAATGCTCCGGATGGGCCGGCTTGGGGATAGAAGTAGCGGAAGTGGATGCGCATCGGTAGTGGATGCGCACTGCTGATGAGTCCCAAAAATAGGATGAAACGGCCGTTCAGTGCTTCTGCATTCTGTTGAGGATTCTTCTAAACATAATGAATTAATTATGATATATATATATATATATATATGTGTGTGTGTGTGTGTGTGTGTGTGTGTGTGATGATAAAATTATAGTTTTAAAATATGCTATATTTATCGGTTAAAGTGCTCAATACCAGGGATAGATTGTATGTGAGCTTTGAGATCGCCAATGGGTGTTGACTTCAATATCCACTTATTTATATTTACGTCAGATCTTCATGGCCTGAAGATTGCGTTTAAGCATGAAACAGATTGTCGCCACTGGGTGTTGTCCCCTTTTATTAATTATACATACATATATATATATATATATATATATATATATATATATATATATATGGGGGGGTTATTAAATTCAACCGTTAATTTCTGCCTGTTTAATTTTAATTGTATTTTCCAATTCTCGAATAAGAGATTGTATATCAGGATCAAAATTATGGATAAATTGTCCAATTGAGAGGAGGTAGTGCTGCCCTGGGTTAAGAGGGTGTCTACTGGAAGATCTTATGTCTGGTAACAGGACTCTACATAATGACACACAAACAGAAGTACCCAGCTATGGGTGTCAGACAATTTCTGCTGCAACCCCCTTGATTATTATGTGTGGGGCGCAGTTGAGCAAGAGACCAACAAACTCCTTGTAACACCAAACATAAATTGAAGGTAATTATTATGGCAGCATTCACGAACTTAAACAAGGAGACCGTCTAAAAGAGTTGCAGGAGATTACAAATTCGTCTGGGGTTCGTAGTTGAAGCAATGCCCATTTTATGGAAGAAATTTAATGTTTTGTATTTTTGTGACATTTGGGTAAATATATTTGTTAAAATGAGATGTCAATATTATTTTCATTTTTGGCGTAATTTAGTCGACAATTTATCCATCGCACACTATACATATATATATATATATATATATATATATATATATATATATAGGGTCGCAATAAAGTCAGTCTGCAGTTACCTATAATAAAAAAGCAATGGTGGCATGCAGTTCGAAGAGTATCGGTAATTAATTTACTATTGTTTAGCAGAGAATTTTGTTATTAACCAGAATTAACCAGAACCATTTTAATAACAAATTTCTGTACTGTTGATTAATTGCTCTGTCTTAATTGTTATTGTAAGTAACTGTATATTGACATTATTGCCACATATATATATATATATATATATATATATATATATATATATATATATATAAAATATAATAAATATATTAAAAATTACCAACAATACATTTTATCTGTAGCTGAAGGCATACAACTGCTGCTCAAAATATATTTAGTTGAAGCCATAAAATTGTGTTAAAAATATTTAGATTCCGGTATTAAATAAGCAATAGAGTTTAATATGCCCCGAGACAAAATCAATTAATCAAAAACATGTCTTGTGATTGTTAAATTTTCCAAGCCCTCTTTCCTCATTGTATGATCTAACAATTTCAGTTGTCTCTTTTTGATTCTAAGTATAAGTGTCCATTCTTCGTCCTTTCTTAGTCGATCTTCAAAAATTTAAATGCAACGTCAGTCGCCATCTTCTGTCATTTTTTTTAACCGGCTTTTTTATTTCCCTTTCTGTTTCTTTCACTCTCAGCCTATTGCGTCTTCGTGGCTTTCTCGCCTTCCCTAGAGTGAAATGATTAAAATAAATAAATAAAAGATAAAAGATTCGTTTAGATTATTTTAAAAAATTATTCATCCTCTCTTTCGTAAATTCAAGCAAAAAGTCACCACATTAACTGCAAGAAAATCCTCCAAAATGCATAGCACAATTTTACATAAACTTTTTTTCAAATATTTGCCAAAGTTCAAAAGAAAATTCTTCAATATATATTTAGAATATTTGTACTTACATCCATATCTATATTTATAAGGAATTCTCACCATGGTGTAATGGTTAACAAGCTCTGATTAGCTTCCAAATTGAAGGCCGCACAACTGGTTTTCTGGATATTCAAATCTTTTAATATGTTTTTGTTTGTTTTAACGTTTCTTTAATCCGTCTTACTTTTAACTTTTCTTTTTAAGCTTTCTTTTAGTGTCTCTGCTTTCTTCCTTTCTACTTTTACCCGTCTTTTCTTTTTGTCTTTTTTTCTTTAACTCATTTTTTTTCTTTTTTAGTGTTTCTTATTTTTCCTTCCTCATCTTAGCGTTCCTTTATTCATTCTTACAATTTTCTTTTCTTCTTTCTTTCTATCTTTTTTCTCTCAATAATTTTTTTATTCTTTCTCTTTGTTTCTTCTTTTTTTTTCATTTCGTTCTGTTTTCTTTTTCTCTATTTCTTCCTTCTTCTCTTTGTTTCTTTGTTTCTTTCTATCTTCACTTTTTCACGTTGTCTTTTTTTCTTATTTTTTTTTTCCTTTTTCTTTTTTTCTTCCTCGCTTGCTTCCTTCTTTTCCTTCTTTTTTCGTCTCTATTCCCATCTTCGCCTCATCTCTTTCTGATTTTCTAACTTACTTCCTTTCTTCTGCCATTTCTTTCTTGGTTCCTTCATTCCCTCCTTCAGGTTTATTACTTTTCTTTCTTTTTTATCTTTATCTTTTTCTTCCATTATTTTTTTCTCTTTCTTTTCTTTCTTTCTCGTATTTTCCCTTTTTCTTTCTTTTTTTCTTTCTTTCTTACGTCCTTCCTTTTTCTTTTTTGTCATTCTTTCCTACTTTCTTTTAATTTTCTTTTTCCTTTCGTTCTTATTTCATCCTCTCTGTCTTTTCTATCCGTTTCTTTCTTGCTTGCTTCCTCCCTTCCTTCCATCCTCAGTTTACGTATTTTTTCTTCCTTATATCCTCTCTCTCTCTCTCTCTCTCTCTCTCTCTCTCTCTCTCTCTCTCTCTCTCTCTTTTCTCCTTGCTTGAATTCGCAGTTTTCATCTCCTTTTCATACGAAAGTAGATTTAAACCTAATGGAGTAAAAAAAAAAAAAAGAACACAGATTATATCTTCCCACAAGAATAAATAATCAATAACTTTAGGTTGGACGTTTCACTAGATTCTCTAAAAAAAAATATTTAAAAAATACCCTGAATACTGAATGTACCCTGAAGCCAGAGTGATTTGGAAAGGTGGGTGTCTAAGTCATCAAATATAAATCTTTACTTTTTACTGACAAACATTAGACTCATATGTCAATACACCTTTTTATTTTCCTTATCGTCTGCTTATTGATGTCCTCCGCCATCATGGGCTGGATCTGCTTCCATCTCGGTCAACATATGTAACTTTACCCATAGAATGTTCTATATGGGATTTGCTTACCCAATTTCACATCATTCTGTCAGATCGACAATTTTATTTCCATTTGATGTCTTACACCAAACCAACCATCGTCCAGGACATGACATTAAACAAGAAACGTTCTATACGCATCGGCTTTGTTCTTCACCGACATCAAGTATATGTTTTTGATGTACGGGCGATGTAATGGATATCGGCTCAGAATAAGAAATCGACAAGCCGGGTTCGAATTCCAGTCGAGTTTCGTTGCATTCACTTTCGCACAAATACCCTTGGGAAAGGTAAGAATCCATCTGCACTGCCTCAGCTATGAATTAAATAACAGATTAGGATCTTTAGTTGTGATGGGCAAATAGATGAACAGCTCTGAATTTATAACTGTATGCATTCCTGGCGCTGCACATACTATGCAACCATCGAAAGGATTGTTCAGTTCATAATGACGTTAAGATCCTGACTGCGGTCGATGTGATGGATGAATGCTAGTATCTATTTGTACACCGAGAAGAGCGTTGCTGCTATATTGGGGCTGGAGCCATAAAGTCTTTATTTTCCAGCCATGAGAGAGTTCAAACGCATTTTATGTGACTTCTTTAATTTCGACCCTATAACTACAGTCGAGCTGCTGCTAGCGTCTTGTTACACTGTTGCTATTCACACGGCAAATGTTCAGACGAGATACATTCCTTAGTTCCACCAGTTCAGATCTTCACATCCAGGACCCGCTATTGCCCATAGACATAGTTGACTCATCCTCATTCCGCTTCGTATTACATTGGTAAGGAAGAAGTTCCACTCAGAAAACTTCTTCCCCGAAATTATTACTCCAGAAAGGATGTTTCCCCGATCATTACCATTGGTTAGTCGGTTTTGTTTAGTGGTATATCAACCTCTATCGGTTATTTAATGCCGAAATCTAAATATTTTGTTTTTGGAGATAATAATGCTTTAGTAATACAGATCATACTAATTAATCCATAGCTGGGGGAGAAGAGGTGGATTCATACCTTTTCCAATGGTATTTGCGCGGAAGTGAATATAACGAACCTAACTGGAATTTGAACTCGGCTCTCCGATTAACAATTCCGAGCTATTATCCATTACGCCATCCGCACATCCAACCTTTCAGCCCTTGCTATTCCCAAGCGGCCGATATTAAATTCTGGGGTCAATCTCATCTCCTTTCCTCTTGCTCTTCCAGATCTATATCCTTTTGCTGTCGACATCTATGTCCTACCCTTCCAGATGTGACTCCCACCCTTCTAGATCTACCCCCTCCCCATTTCTCCAATTCTTCAATGCTTGCTATTCATTATCTCCTGCCCTTCCAGATATACGTTTTATCCTTTTCTTTCTACTCTTTCTATGACGTCATCTATGTTCTCCTACCTTTCCAGATGTGCCTCTCACCATTCCAGATGTACCCGTTCATATGTCGTTCCTAACCTTCCAGATTTTGCTCCTATTCATTCCCTCCTACTCTTCCAGATCTACCTCCCACCCTTTCCTTCTAGCGTTTCCAGATGTACCACCTTTTCTTTCGCTTTTGTTATTTATATGCACTTCACTATGTCCTCTTACCCTTCCAGATCTACTCGCATCATTTTCTCCCACCAATATTTGTAAACCCCGAACAATCCGTAAAAAAGCAACCCCCTCCGCCTCATAAATATAAAAGAAGGTAATTACTTGCATTATTTACATTTTTCGGATTGTTATCCTCATCTTCATTGTCATATTCACAACGTTTCGGCCGTTGTACGCTCCGGCCTTCTTCAGGTGATTGGAATTTCGAACGGAACCCTTTATTTCGTCCACCGGTGTAGATTGTTCTAGTTCTACGTGCCATGCCTCTTCCGGATGTCTTATTTATTTCCCTTTAACTCAGCTCTCCAAGTTTTGGTTCACCGCTGCTGTAGCCTGGAACTGAACTCACAACTTTTTTGGTGTAGTCACTGGATCTAACCAACGTCTTTATCCACTGGGCAATGTCTCCTTGAGGTAATTAATCAGAAAAATATGATAAAATCATATACAAGCCCCCCCCCATATCGATTGAAATTCGCGCCCACGGGAAAAAGATTATCAAAATACTACTCTTTAAGGGTGACGGACGTGGATCTCGAGAGGTAGGAAGACGTCACCAACGATCGCCCACGCTTGAGACACAATCTACATCGAGAACTGGAGCGAGGAGCGAGGACAGGAGAAACGAAGGCTTGCCGCGTGGGAGAAGCGTGCTCGACGGCTACGAACCATAAATCTTTGGGCGCAAAACCATGTTCTCTCGGGACCGACGGATGCCACATAAGACTTTAACAAATATAGACAGGAAAAGGGAGTAAAACCTGAGTGTTCTTCGTATAAAAGAGCATCTTCCACACCAGAATCACGAACAGATTTGGCATACGACCAAGCTCTCAACAAATTATTATTAAAACTGCTGCATATTCCTCCAAATGAACAACCAACACGCAAGCAAGATTTTTTTGATTTTTTTACTTTGTTTCAAGCTTCGGCATTTTATGTCAATATCTATCTGATAAAATATTCATCATCTTTTTTTTTAATTTCGCCATAGACTAGTAAGCCTCTGACACTGCATTTGGCTTCATTGAACTTAATAACCATTTAAAATTATGAGGACTTTGTTTATCACGAACCTCAGTGATTATTCAGCAGATAAGAGCTTCACAATGACAGAATAGCCAGTTAAACAAAATGGTGATTTCGTTTTTGTTTGCTTTTTAAAGAAGAGATTGTTGATTGATTCGTTTTTTACGGCTTATCAACCCATTACAAACAACATTTAAAGCCAGAAAATATTTTTTTAAATTGTAAGAATTTTGTTGTTTGGTGGAGATAATAATGATTTAGCGATACAAGTTTTAATAATTAACCCATAGCAGTGCGGAAGAGATGGATTCATGCCTTTCCCAAGGGTATTTGCGCGTAAGTGAATATAGCGAACCCAAATGGAATTCGGCACCCCGATTAACAATTCCGAGTCATTATCCCCTACACCACCCGCACATCCAAGCTTACAGCCCCTGGTATTCCCAAACGGTCACCCATCTAGTTACTGACCAGGTTGTCTGTTGCTTAACTTCGGTGACCGTGTCAGAACTCGGTTCTCCGATTAACAATTCCGAGTCATTATCCGTTACACCAACCTCACATGCAAGCTTACAGCTTTTGGTATTCCCAAACGATCCTCCATCTATCTACTGACCAGACTAGACGTTGCTTAACTTCGGTGATAGTAAGGAACAGGTGTTTCAAATGATATGGCCATTATACCACCAGTACATCCAAGATCACAGCACCCGGTATTCCCAAACGGTCAACCATCTAGGTACTCACCAGGTTCGACGTTGCTTAACTTCAGTGATCGTACGGACACCAGTGTTTCAACCTGATGTGTCCGTAAGCTCATTATACCACCCGCAAATCTAAACTCACAGCATCTGGTATTCCCAAGCGGTCACCCATCTAGTTACTGACCAGTTTCGACGTAGCTTAACTTCGGTGATCGTACAAGAATCAGTGTTTCAAAGTGTATAGCCGTAAGTCCTAAAGGAAGAGAAACCTAATCGATGTTGATTGATCGCCGACAGCAGTAGTTCTCTCCCTGTAGTCCGGGGTTTCCTAAAACGTGCTTCGCGACGTACTGGCGTGCCTCGAGATAAAGTTAGGTGCGCCGCGAAAGAGCAAGATTATAGTATTATATCAAAATGGCCGCGGAAGATTCAAGCGTTGTTTTGTGAACTTGTTGGCATAGTAATTGTGAGTTCATACCCTGTCATGGATAGTGCAGACGTAGACTCACTGGAAAAGGGGCAAGTAATAACTGAGCAGTGTTAAATGACTCTAAGTAAAATTGTTCGTCTCGTTTTCATTTTTCTTCAAAACTTCCTGGTTACTCACACATTCAGTCTATGGTATTCTTAACAGCTATCTCTAGAACAAAACCTCTTGTCTCAATTCTCGTCTTCCTCTGGCAAGAAATTGTCCAACATTTACTGTCGTATAGGGGGACTGGTATTACATAGCACTTCAGATTTTGTATCTTAATAATTTGTTTAGCTTTTGAAAGGCATCTTTTGCTAATTCCAGATTCAACTTAGGATTTCAGTGTCGCATCTTCCGCTCTCCGTTAAAACGCTTCCAAGTTACTTAGATTTTCAAACTTGACTGATTTTCACACTTCCAATTAGTAACTTGCATGCTGGGCTGTTCCTCTTGCTGGCAACCATATATTTTGTCTTCTTATAATTGATAGACCTTTCTTCCCCCTTTCCTTTATTAACTTTCCTAGAGTTTTCTTTCCGTGTTTACGGTGTCATCTGTATAGCCGATAATCTTAAGATTGTGTTCGCCAATAAAATATCATGATAGAACTTCTAGTTCTTTCAGGATCACCTCACTTTAAAAACTGAATCCGGTGAGACGACACATTCTTGTCGTACGCCAGTTTCTTTTGTTGTTGTGTGTGTGTGCGTGTGTGTATTTAATTCATTACCTATCCGTATACGGATTGTTTGCTTCTAAAATACGTTCTAAATTATTTTAATATCTTTCGCAAATAAGTCTTCGTAGCAGTTTTAATAAAACTTTGTATTTTCTAAAGTTCGCTGTGAGTAAGAACATTTGGGGAACCACTGCTGTACACTGTCGATTGCCAAGCTAGTCCCACAGGACATTACGAATGTACTGTTCGATTTGTACAGGAACTTTGTGTCAGAAGAAAACTTGTGTAGAGAGTTGAGGCTATGATATCTACATGAATGGCTGTAGAGAAGATACATAATAGTAGCAGCAGTAAGTCAGCGTCTTTAAAAACTCACTCTTTCAAAAAAGAAGCCGTTTCTTTTCGTCTATGCCTAGGGTCACATACCTAAAGGGAATTGATCCTTTCCATCTCACCAGTAAGTAATAATTTTCTGTGTTCAGAAATGTAGACTTTTGGATTCGGACTCTGTTAATGAAAAGCGTGACTTTTTCCATAATCAGACATTTATTATTTTATTCCTATTTTATGGAATAAGAATATTCATAAAATTTCAACCTGCCGTGTATTTTCTTTCGTTTTAGTGAATATAAATATAAGGAAAAAAATATGGCAAAGTATAAATAAGTTTCCGTGTGGCGATTACGCATGCGCACGAACGAGGGATGCTGGGAATTTTTAATTTTTTAAAATTTGGAATTACCAGCGTCCCTCGTTCGTGCGCATGTGTAATTGCACCAACTTAACAAATTTAATCCGATGAGGTCCTAAAAAATGAAACGTATCACGAAAACTTTTTCGATTTTGTCATACTTTTTTCCCCAATATTGTTCATGATATGTAAAAATTTACATGTCGTTATCTCATTCATATATATATATATATATATATATATATATATATATATATATATACAGGGTACGTTGGGTAAATTGTCGCCATTTTATATTTTCAATTTCGCGCATGCGTGTTGTTCGGTTTGAATTTTGTCGACGGCACACTATAGTATGGTCAGTTGGACACCGTCTGTGAGAAAAAGATCACCATGACGCAATTCACTCCGCCAGAAATTTGGAAACGGCATGCGGTACTGCTTTGCATTCGCACCGGAAGCCCATTCGTTTGCAACTAGTCTATTAAAAGAAAAATCCTGAAATGAAAACTGAGGGAAAACAAAAGCAATTCACGCCAATATATTTGGAAATTTTCAGTTTACAGATCTCAAAAGTAAAAGGAAACAGTGGAGAACGATGATCCCCTATGTTTTAGTAGAACATTTTAATATGGTGCATTGAAATATGAGATTGAGTAAAATAATTGATACAATATACAATATAAATCAAGATTTACGTAAATAACAAAGAACACAATTTTTAATAGAAAATATCTCAATATTTTATTCACATATTTTTTTGTTATTTATAATTGTATTATTTTTATTTTCTTGTTCATAGATTCTTTTTTGGCGGGGGAGGGTCTTGTTCAAGTTTAAAATTAAAAGCAAATATTTTTGCCAGTCGTCTCGGAAAGCGCGCGCTCCAGTGTGTGTGTGTGTGGATAGGTGCACATGTGTGTGTATGTGCATCTTTTTTGATTGATTGCTATTCTACGGTTTATCAACCCTTTTCAGGTTATTTAAAGCCCCCAAAATATTTTTATATTGTAAGATTTTTTCGATAATAATGATTTTAGTAATACAAGTCTTATTAATTAATCCATAGCTGGGGTGTAGAAAAGGTGGATTCATACGTAATCAAACAAACAAGAAATTATAATATGGGTAGAAAGTGGGGGATCAATTCATTACTACAGTCAATATATAAAGTGGCCTCTCACTTTATGGCCGTGGTAGTTTCTACAGAGTAATATTCCTGAGAATGTAAATCAAAAAAACATGCCTGTCTAACTAATCAGTATTTTATTGAATGATTGATAGATTCGTTTTCTACGGTTTATCAACCCTTTTCAGGTTATTTAAAGCCAGAAAATATTTTTAGATTGTAAAATTTTATTTTATATAATAATGATTTTACTGGTACACGTTTTACTAATTAACCCATAGCTTAGGAGAGAGGTGAACTCATACCTCACCAGAATTTGATAAACAAACAAGAAATTATAATGTTATAAAGTGAGGAATCAATTAATTTTTTCAATTTATATATAAATTGATCCCTTACTTTGTGAATACTGTAGTTATCATACATTTATATTCCAGAAATATGCCTGTGTACCGTCCTGGGTATGATGATAAACTACATCCACGTCCTGGGTAAGACGATGAACTACGCCCGCGTCCTGGGTAAGACGATGAACTACGTCCAACAGCAAAGGCCTTTGATCAGGAGGTTTTGAGGAGCGTGGAACCACCTCTTAATTGCTGGTGTTCCCAGGTCCACCCTGACCCGAGGTTTTAGCATCTGTTAGGATCCCAGCTATAGGCAAATACTTAACCCTTAAGTTGGGGTGAAATCTCTATAAAAGTGTAAAAGTAGGTTTTAATACCAGAAATACTTTGTAAAAAATTAACAATAAATTTTTGAGGAAAAAATTATTACCAGTAATGTATTATTACCAGCAATATATTTGAAAAAAAATATTACCAGCAATAAAAATCTTGTCGGGATTAACCCATTGAGGTTGATATGCCAATAAAAAAAAAAGTACCTGTGTACCAGTATTTCATTGATTCGTTTTATACGGCTTCTCAACCTTTTGCAGTTTATTTAAATCCAGAAAATATTTTTACATCGTGAGATTATTTTTTTTTAGATAATAATTATTAAGTAATACAAGTTTTACTAATTAACACATAGCTAGTGGGGAGAAAAATGTGGGTTCATAGCTTTCGCCAAGCTTATCTGCGCGTCAGGGAATATAATGAACGCAACGGGAATTGGAACTCGGCTCTCCGAATAACAATCTTGAGCCATTATCCAAAAGGTCGCCCATTTGAGTACTGATCAAGCTCAACTTTAGTGATCGTACGGGAACCGGGGTTTCAACGTGATGCGGCCGCAACCTCATTATACCAACAGCACATCCAACCTTACAGCACCTGATATTACCAAACGGTCACCCATCTAGTTATTAACCAGACACAACGCTGCTTAACTTAAGCTATGTAAGTGCATGTATATGTGTGCATGGGTGTGTGCTTTAAAAATGTCAGATACGGGTATTATTTAGATTGTCCGGCAAGACACGGAAGACTCTAAGTAGTTTGATAGATAGACTGCATTATCAATTTGATTGTGTTACTTGAATATTTCTGGGTAGCACCACACAAACAGACAGACGAAAAAAAAACTCACCCTTATTTTTTTTTTTTTATAAATCTGTTCAATAAGATAATATAGAAAAGGGCATTGAATGGTAGACAGTTTCCTTACAGATAAAAAAAGGACCTCGAAGCAGCAAAGATATGCTTCTTTAGAGAGATGAGAAAAGGTAGGCTTGGAAAAATTTGACACACAAGGAAGATAGTGAAGTCAAGAAGGACAGAGGGAAACTTAACGAGCGTACATGGAGGGCAGTGTAGGCAAACAGAGGGACGGTAAAGCGTCAAATATTGCTTAGAGCTACATGAGGCAGAAAGATGTGGAGAGCCATGATCGCCCATGCGTTTGAGTGAATGGATTGCAAACAGCGATAAAGATGGATGGTGAAAAGTCAAAAGATGCTTAGATATATCATGGATAGGAAGTTGTGGAGAGTCGTGATCGTCCATGGGTTTGAGTCAATGTATAGCAGAACAGGGATAAAGATGGATAGTAAAAAGTCAAATGATGCTTAGATATATCATGGATAGGAAGTTGTGGAGAGCCTTGATCACCCATGAATTTGAGTAAATGTATAGAACAAGAATAAAGATGGATGGTAAAGAGTCAAAAGATGCTTAGAAATATCATGGATAGGAAGTTGTCGAGAGCTATGATCGCCCATGAGTTTGAGTCAATGTATGGCAAACAGGGATAAAGATGGATGGTAAAGAGTCAAAAGATGCTTAGAAATATCATGGACAGAAAGTTGTGGAGAGCCGTTATCGCCCATGAGTT